TGACCCATGGTGACCCATGAAAACCATTGTGTTTAACTCCTAGAGAATTCACTATAATGGGAAGATCTGATTTCATGCTCATCTAATCATATTCTATTGGTATCCCCCCAAAAATACGTTTATACTTTCCCACTTGAAGTGTTTTTAGAACTGTTCTAATGAAGATTGCAGTAGCTCGCTTTACTGCCACTCCAAACCCCCAAATATCTGATGAGCTGATCTTATAGAGCTGTTGATGGCCTACTCTTGCCTGAAGGATACTGCAGTCGAAAGGGGTACGAACCTCAGCTTAGCCGTCGTAATCCATGCCCATTTCAATATTCAATCGATAATGGAATACCAATATATTTTATGTTTTTCTTAATAATGCTCCAAGAAAGGTATTTTCTATTTTGTACTTTAAATTTTACCTTATGTACTTAATATACGTACGTCGTGGCCCAATAATTTAGAATTACACTTAACTGATTTACAGTCACTAGTTCAATTCTGACTAACATCAGAACATGTACATTTTTTTTATAAAGTTCTACTAATTTCCCAAGTATAGGAACCATCAAACTACAAATATATACAATATATACATCATTTAGAGAGACGGCATGAACTGTATTTTCATTTTTCTTTTTAAGACATATTTTTGTGACTGTCAATGATTTTAGAGTTTATAGATTCCGTTTTCTGCCTACCTAAGTGTAGACAGATTTTAATATCGTTAGTAATAATATAACAGTAAGCAATTACTATATCTTTCATTAACATTATTGTTAACACTATATTATTATTATAGGGAAAAAACCATACAAGCCCACCATTTCCGAATACAAACTAACAAACAAACAAACTAAATACATAGCAATCATAATACAATTCATCATATTTGTCTATATAATATATAAATATTATTTTACAAAATTGATAATAAAAACATTGCGTATAATAATATACATTTTTATATCACCAGTATAGTGATTCATCCAGATTTAACAAATAAATGTATATAGAAAGTATATACTCAATGTTTGTATCATCAATTTTGTGAAATGGTATACCAATTGATTCACAAAACCAGTTCATCATATTTGCCTACAATATATGTAATATTGTAGACAAATATGATGAACTGGTTTGGAGTTATGGTTGCTATGTATTTAGTACTTTAATACTTGTATTCTAAGATAGAGGGCATGTATTTACTTGTATAGTTTTTTTTCTGTAAGTAAATATTTATGCTTATAATTTGTGGCTACGGCAGTTGCAACATTGGCGTAATATTTTAAATACGATTAAAAAGTGGCAATACTCCATTAAACTCTAATATTAGATATATGTAAAATTTAGTATAAAAAGATATATAACTAAAGGAGATCAACACTATATAATTATTTTATCATTTACATATTATATATATACTTTACATTAATTAAAAATATAGCATGATATAGTAAATATTTAAGTATCTATATTAGTTAACTACGTATTTATTGTCAATTAGAAATAAACAAAACATCAGAATAATATTTGCTACTCAAGTTTGCAGTTCTCATACAAGTTATGTATGTTGAAAGCAGATCAACAAAACATTCAAGAGGGAACACCATGCGCTTGTAAAGTGAATGTGTGACATTACATTATTTTTTGTCTCGGTGGTTTAGCATCCACCACCATCCACCATCGGAAGGAAAGCGCTGTGCAACACCGCACAGCGCTTTTCTTCCGATAGTGGCGGATTCAATTCCTCGCACGGTACAAACATGATGATTTATTATGTATGATTATTTTGTATGTACGTAATGACGATGTGTGAATTGTCCAAAGATAATTATTATTAATTAAATATCGGTATTATACAAAACTTACTAAATTTATGAAGTAAAAAAAATATTTAATAATACTAAATATTTTCAAATTATATATTTCCTAATATTATGAGGACTAGCAACACATTTGTTTTAAAAATATTATGATATGTTAATAAATGAGCACATTTTTAAGGTACAAAACAATGCGTATATAAGTATATTTAATTTTAGGTTATCACTAACTTCACTTTACGATACACAGTATTCTCTCTTTACATTACTGTACCTCAAGGCACAATTACGAATTGTACTATTAAATGCGATTGTCCCATAAACTCTGCGGACTTAAAGAAGCTGATAGAGTAAACATTACTTTAAAATTACATCTTTTTTAACAAGAAAACATCAAAAATATATGTATAATAAAATTTCACTAGAAATATATAGCGAAGTGCTAATTATAATATATTTAAGTACAACATTTCATCTATTTGAATTAAGAAAGGACTCCATTTTCTTGTACCATAGAGACTGCGGCAAGCTTTTACAAATTTATAAAATATTAACCTTAAAAATACGCAGTAGTCAAGTTTGACACTTTCTCTGGTACAACTGTACAACGTCAGTTTACATTTCTGCTATATTAAAAATAGAACTTTAATGACCTGAAAATATATAGAAGTTTGTAAAAAATAGCAACTATATATTTATTTAATTTTATAACATGATTTTAAAGTTATCACCCAGTATAATGGGTTCCATAGATTAGCAACTACTATAACGTTATCTCAGAGCAATATAAATTCCACAAACGTACGGCATACATGTACACAATATAATAAAAATATATGTATTGTTATTAAATAAACGGTATATATTTATCGTGATTATATTAGTTACGAACTTCCGATATCCCGATATTTCGTTTACATAATAAGTTCAATTATAAAAGTTTTAAAAATGTAACAGCGTTAATAAAAATATTTTAATATTCATATTTGTAATAAGAATAAAGAAATATGCATTATTAAATTCTATTATATTTGTTTTGAATCATAAGAGCTTACACGTTACACGAGCCAGTACGTTAGTATAATCCTACTTCTTAGTACTACATCTGAATAGGACAAAGTCGCCTATATCCATTTCCATCGCAAATACAAAGTCAAATCTACAAATTCAATAAAACCTACAAACTTAACTATTTGTATGTTTTGTCCCTTTCTTTAAAATTACAAAAATCGTACGAAAGAGTAGGACAGAACAGGTCAACAGCAAGAATATCGTGTTCAGGCTACAAAAAAACCGACTATTGAAGTCGGTTTTTCACATTATATTATTAATGACGTCTCAATAAAAAGTGGTCAGATCTTGATTAAGTAATATAAAACCACAAACGAAGCACTAGTCTTCAAACAAAAAAGAATCATCCAAATCGATTAACGTCGACAAAAGCTCTCGAGTATTATACATAAAATTAAAAAACAAATCCTTCTTAGAAGTCGATTGAAACTGTTTAATATATTTATGAATAAAGATGTGTCTATAATACTTTGTGACGATTAGTTTAAATTTAAGTAGTAAAGGGATTATTTGAGAGAAAAACGCCTGAACACAATTCCACATTTACAACACTAGTACAGACAAGCAACTAGTAATGATCATAAAAATATAAATTTTACTAATATAACAAGTCAGTTCAGATTACGCCGTATCATCCTCTCTTTTACGCATTCTTGGTTACCATCGTCGTATAAAATTATTCATAATGATGATTAATTGTTATTGCAACTGTGAATTCAAATATAAAAAATATATAATAATACGTATTGTGAATTTGTATTACAGTGCGGTTATCTGCGCACACAATAGGCTAACATAGAAATTGTCCGAAGCCATACGCACTATGGATAAAAAAGGGTGGGAATAAGTTTACGCGCTTAAAATCGCATAGGTAATAGGTTTCAACATTTAGAGGTTATTTCCTATTTCCTGGTCTTTAGAGTCTAAAGCCCAGACCGCATTTCGAAATCTTTCCAGGTTGTCCGGCTCGAAGGACCACTGTCAAGGCCCTAAGGGATCTTCAATAAAGGTGGACTGTAAGTTTAAATATAATGTATTGGTAATATGAATTTATAAATTAATTGATTAAAGACAGAGTGATGACGCGCGTCCTTGAAGCCGCTCGTGATGGCATTGAAGTGTGATCGCCGATCGGCCACTGCAATGACCTAGATCCATCTTCTGCCTATCAGGATACGATTATAGTTCTAGGGTTAGAATCCTTGTCGGTAATGGAACAGGAAATTAATTTGTCCATGCTAAAAGTTTCTTCGAGGGACAGTAGACTCTTCAATAATATAGCTTTGATTACGGTATTGTTTCCACGTGTTTTCGAAAGTACATATAGCTTCATTCAATTTCAATATATATAATATAATAATCAGAGAACAAGAAGTCACGGATAAACCCTAACATATTAGCTATGTATAAAATTAAAAAAATACATTTCAACATGGCGATAACGTAGAAAAAGTCTACAAACAATATTGTTGTATAAATAGACAATTGCAACGGCCTATACAAACATGTAAAAGTACTTTAACAAACTATATAAAGGGTGTTCACTAACGAGATCTTGCAGAATATACGTCTACTGTTAGAAGACCGGTCAATTCAATTGGTTGAAAAGGTAATATAAGATTGGTCACTATTTGACAGAGGTAACAGGTGCATGGGGCAAATTGGAATAGAGAAAATTGTATTTTGGGTGATTTTTTCCAACCCCCAGTAGTAGCAAATTAGCAAACGTTTCATCTGATCGTAAATGATTACCGTAGTCAATGGATGCCTGAAACACCAGATTTGTCACGTATGCGTTGCCATCTATTATTTTAATTCTTATAAATTTAATATTTGATTGTTTATTAAAAAAAAATATCTATGATTAATTTTTTAGTCAGTTACTAGAATACTTCTTTAATAATTTATAAATAATGCAAATTATGTACTAATTAATTTTGTTAATAAACAGAAATCGCAAGAAATCGATAGAGACCACCCTTCAAGTATAAAAAAATACATCATCTACAAAATAATGTGTTACGTATAAAAAACTTGAATTAAGAGTACATATAGGTATATATATTAATGAGTGAACTAAACTATGTGATGAAAATAAATGCAAAATAGGATACGATTCCGCTAAGATCACAACTCGTCTTTCATCTTCTCGTATTGTTTGCAGAAGTTGACCATGTCCTCGACGGATCTGTCGCCGTCATAATCGGCCACGTGTTTCCCGGCGGCGAACATTTTGAAGGTGGGCAGCGTTTGTATGCCAGCTAGATCGGCCGCTTTGGAGTTTTCAGCTGCTTCTACGGCTACCGCTTTGACTGGTGATTTATCAGTCTTCAATGCTGTTGCCAGTCGACTGAACGCCGGCTTCGCAGTCACGCAGTGTCCACACCCTAATAAAATAAAATAATATTGTATTTATATTCATGTAATTAGTTTGGTTTAGCACACCGCATTACGTCCAATTATTGCGGGTTCGATTCTTCGCACGGCACAAAACATCATCACCAAAATGTTTTCTATGTATTATATGTATGTATTTACGAAAAAATATTTGTATTAGTTATCTAGTACCCATAACAGTCTAGGGGCTGTGTGAATTGTCCTGAGATTATTATTATTATTATTTAGCCCAATTTCGATAAATAAAAATAATATTAAAGCACTTGTACATTTCACGCTCTATCTAGTCCCAAGGTAAACAGAGCTTGCTAGACATATTATATAAATACTTACAGACCGATATAATCATACTCATAAATATTAATGTTTGTACCGTGCGCGATGAATCGTATGCGCGACCTTCGGAAGCGATGCGACGTACTAAACCGCTACACCAGCAGGGCCTTAGTATTTTAGAATGGTGTAATTCTTTGTATGTCTATGAGATGATGGTAAGCATATAAAGTAATGTTACTAGCTGTTGTAATGATTATTTCCACAACACATTTTCAAAATTTACGTATTTACACTTATGAGTTTTGTACACTGTCTTTGTTTTAATAGAAAGACAGTGTACAAAACTCATAATTGGACAAAAAATCATTCTTTTTGTTTTCGTATTCCATATAGTGATTTTTGCGGGTTAAGTTACAAACTTATGATTTTTTTTCTATCAAACAATGCTCCACAGCATTTTTTGTAAAAAAATCATAAGTATTAGTCAATGAAATAGGAGACTACGATGTTTTTTTTTAAAAGGCAGTTAGTCTTTGCATCTTAACTTTATTAATTCAGTGTTAATGTGTTATACATAAACATCCACCATTATTTCTAAGTAACATACAAAAATCGGTAAATAAAGAATATTTCCGATAGTGCCACACCACTATTTAAGAATCCCAAAAAGCTGGCAACATAGATAACGTCAAATTTGTATCGGAAATAAGAAACAGACTATGGTCATAAAGGAACCATAATAGACAATAAATTATACTTACACGTGGCATAAAACATGACGAACGTGTGTGTGGGAGCAGCAATGATTTTCTCGAAATCATCATCAGTGGATAGCAGGACGTTAACACCAAACCCGGCGTCCTGGTTGCTCTTAGCTGCCTTTTGTGACGTCTGTTGACTGCCCATATGTGTGTGTATGAAAGAGACAAAATCCGCTTCCTAAAAACCATGTGAAAATCATTTTATTAATATGTAAAGCAAAAACTTTGTACCCCTTTTTAAGATAATTCAATGGCAGGAGGATTATCTAATTTCCCACACTTAGCAATTGTCTGGTACTCATAAAACAAGCTCGGCATAGCTTGGGACTAGATGGCGCTGTGTGAATTGTCCTGGAATATTATTATTAATATAAATTATGCTTACTCAAATAAAATAATATAAACACTTGTAAAAATGCATATAAAAAATGAAAATTGGACTCTATTCTCCATATTTACATTTATACCTCTCATCTGGGATTCGTTGTGTGTCTAGAGCGTATAGTATTTATTTCTTAATCTACCACTTATATTGAAAACAGATTCAGCACAAGAAGGAACAAGAAACATTCCCTATTACTTATTCAAACAAATATTGTGCAACTTTATAATCACTCGACCCTACCTTTCTTCCACCTGAGTAATCCTTCACTTGTTTATCGAAATAGCTGAAGTACTTGATCGTGGGATATCCCTTGACATCGTAATTCCCGCACACGTCCTGGTGGACTGTGCAGTCAACAGCCCCGAATGCAACCATCAGCTCATCAGCAAACTGTTCTGCGGCTTTCACGAATTCCGGTTTTGTACTCTTACAGTGTCCACACCCTGCCAATCGTAAATACATACATATATGTACTTGCAATAATAATGTAATGCAATAATATGTTTGTATTTGCAAAAATAAAACGTGTTAAGTATTTATATCAGTTAATTAATGGCCATAACAAGAGCACTGCTTGGGTCTAAGATTGCTAAGTGTGAATTGTCCAGGATTATTATTATTGTTTTCAAGTGTCGTATTATGAATGCAAAGGTGAGTTTTTTTTTATATCTTTTATGACTTGAATCGGAATCTTAATGACATTTGATGCGAACATAGATATCATGAGATCGAATAGAGCTTTTAATCTCAAAAATGCAAAGAATGTCGTGGGTGTGAGCTACATTATAGTAGGAACTTTTATTATGGGCACATGATAGCGAGATGTTATGATACATACCTTCTGGTATTATAAATGTGACAGAAAGATGTTACATCTTATACTGCTTAACACAACTGAACATAAAGTGATTTACCTACACAAAATTTATTATGGAGATGGACGTGCCACTTTTACTATGGACGGCCTCGGTGGTTTAGTGGTTGTGCAGACTTTACTTCTGATGGTTGCGGGTTCGTTATGTCAACATGAGTAATGTAATGTAAGTTGGACTCCATTTTCCGCAATTGGCCTCTCATCTGGGCCATTGTGCGTGTAGGTTAACATGAGTATGATTGTTTGTATCGATGCGTATTTTGTATGTATATTATGTATGAATTTACAACAAAATAATAATGATAATGATAATCTCAGGACAATTCACACAGCGCCATCTAGACCTAAGTTAAGCTAGCTAAAGCTTGTGTTATGGGTATTAGATAACTGATACAAATACATAGTAAATTTTTTTTTTCGTAAATATATACATAACACCAGCTCTGTTTTGCTTGGAACTAGATGTCGCTGTGATATATAGGCGAAACTGTGGTAGCCCAAGCATGACTTCACTATATCATATGACGCCCATGATACCGCTCATGCGTTGCCATTCCGTAGGAGAAAAATATTATGCTATATCTCTAATCACGTATTTTCACTGCCTTAGCTATTCCCTCATACATATTTTTGTATGAGGGAATAGCTAAAGATGATAACTTTAACTGGTTATGCAGAGCACGCATCGGAAACTCAAACTGATTATTTTTTGCATTTTTCATTGCTGCTCCGCTCCTATCGGTAGTAGCGTGATGTAATATAGCCTATAGCCTAGTAATGTGGACTGACGATCTTATTGCTAGCAATATACCATATCAGGCAGACCTCCACGCGGTTCCCCCTGGAAACCATCGTGATAAATTCTTGGTAAATTTGTTACGATAGACTAACTGACCTGACCTCATGCTAATCTTATCATCCTCCATTGGTATCAGCCAGCTCCGCCAGCGTAAACCGTTAGCGCAGGCGGGTGCACCATTACATTATTATAACCATAAAAAAATAGATAGATAGAATATATTTTATTTGCAACATACAGTAAAGAAGAGGCACAAATAATATATCAAAGGACACATGTATCTGATAGTTCCTTTACTGTGACTGGTATCAAGTTAGTGCCGTAACTTGATACCAGTAAAGACTTGTAACAGTAAAGGAATTGTGATAGAATTTAGTGGAATGGGAAGGAGTGGAAAGCTTTTGGAAGAACTTAATGATAAAGGGTGAATAGAAGAGGAGAACTTGAAACTTTCTTTGAGATAGGAAGGAGTTCTAGAATTAAAAGATGTTGTAAATGTGTGTGTAAGATGTTGTAAAAGTGGAATGTAAGAGTATGCATGTCTGAGCTCACTTAAGTTGGGTACCATATTGGGATAATCTATACGTCTATACATATAAATAAAATTGGGGTGTCTGTTTGTAATATTGAAATAACCGTTTTTTACTACATGTATATGAATATATATACGGTGTGTGGTAGTCTGCTTGTCCAGATAGTCTTGATGAAGTCTTCTGGAATGTTGGGTCCTGCGAGACTTTGTAAATGTCTCAAAAATTTAGATGGGCGGCGGTCTCCTAATTCCTCATGCATGAGAAGTTGTTTTACTTGTTTTTCACGTGAGGCGCTTAGACGTTTGATAAGCTCTGTTTTTAATTTATCATATTTTTCAGTGGAAGGTGGAGAGATAATAATATCTTTGACTTCTTTCGAAAATTGATGATCCAGTTGTCCAATAACGTAATTAAATTTTGTTATATCTGATGTAATATTTGAAACTGCGAATTGTCCCTCGACTTGTGCGAACCATATTTCTGTCTCTTCCGGCCAGAAAGGAGGAACGCGTATTCCGACTCTAAACAGTTCAGATGGTTCGGTAGCTATTGTATTTTCCAAAGACATGATGTTCATATATATCAGTAAAATTGTGTTTTATATGTAATTTTGTTCTTTAAAAATATGTATTTTATATCCTTACGGTTCTGTCCAAGAGCGGGGTCACCAGTTATAGGCTTGATCTGGATTATATTTATATATATTTAAATAAAATAACAAAGCAAACGTTTATCTAATTTAATTTTATAAGAGACAAGAAAGGTGACATATTTAAGTTGCGCGCGCAGCTTCGCATGCGCGCTGCCTATACAATATATTTATGTACGTATACAGCTATAGGTTCATATACCAAAATAACATTTTTTATAATTTTTGGTGTCTGTCTGTCGGTCTGTTTGTTCCGGCTAATCTCTGAAATGGCTGTACCGATTTTGACGGGACTTTTTTCGGCAGGTAGCTTATGCAATAAGGAGTAACTTAGGCTACTTTTATTTTAGTAAAATAAAGTTAAATTCCACGCGGACGAAGTCGCGGGAACAGCTAGTTGATACTATAATAACACAAGTATAAATAACTTACACGGTGCGTAAAACATGACAATGGCATGTTTGATCTTTCGCAGTGTGCTTCTGAAGGTCGCGGAGTCGAGGTGGCGCACGGGACTCTCTTCTTCAGACCAGGGCTTCTCGGGTGGTGGAGGCGGCGGTGGCTCTTGAGGATTCTGAAAAAAAATTACCACTGTTATAATCGGGCTCGGTGACTATGAAAATCTAAACCTAAAACTAACAGTATCGACCATTAGCGGTGGTCTAGCGGTTTAGGACACCGTTTCACTGCAAATGGTCGCGGCTTCGACATTCCATATACATTTATAACTATGAACGTTTTGTTTTTTATACATATTATGTATGTTTGTCGTTTAGCACAAAGTGACTGAAATAGCAAAACCAAGGTACCTATACAGTCAGACAATATGTAAGAATCTACCTACTTACTAAATTAACGAATTCACCCATTCAGGACATTATCCTCAATCACCTAAGTAGTATATTTAAAAACGTATTATATCAAAATTACATCTCAATTTCAACTGCCGTTTTTAATTAAAACCTAAACACAGAAACAGTGATCACTTTGTTACAAATCATCATTATTACTTATTATTATTACATAGTATAAAACAAAGTCGCTGTCGTTGTCTGTCCCTATGTACGCTTAAATCTTTAAAACTACAATAGCGGTTTTTAATAAGTTTTTAATAAGTAGAGTGATTCAAGAGTAAGCTTTATACGTATAATACATGTACGGGTGTGCGAAGCCGGGTGGGTAGCTTGATTATTTAAATGTTCTTTATTGCACGTAAATACATTTTTTTAAATATATTAATTAGAACTAATGTTAACAAAGGAGGACTTATCTCTAAAAGAGATCACTTCCAGTCAACCCAATAGAGCGTGGCATAGGAAGTGTTGAGTGGGTCAAAATGTGCAAATAATAATTTAATATAAATGTCATAAATAATTAAAACTAAACTTAAAAATGTAATCGTATATAAATAAAGACCTATATATATATATATATATATATATATATATATATATATATATATATATATATATATATATATATATATAAAATTCTCGTGTCACAGTTTTCGTTCCCATACTCCTCCGAAACGGCTTGACCGATTCTTATGAAATTTTGTGAGCGTATTGAGTAGGTCTGAGAATCGGCCAACATCTATTTTTCATCCCCCTAAATGTTAGGGGTAGTCCACCCCTAATTTTTTATTTTTATTTTAAGGCAAAACAACGTATGCTGGGACAGCTAGTATATATATATATATACACCACACATACATACACATAAAATATTATGAGCCTTTACCTTGAGGAAGTTGACGATTTGCTCTTCCTGTCTCGCCTGGCCAGCATCGTATTTGTACTCGCCCTTATTGAAGTATTTCAACGTTGGGTATCCTTTGACGCCAAACCGTGACGCCAAGTCTGGCTGCTTCGTGGCGTCGACCGCTGCCAATATACCTGTAATCTATACACGATAAAACATGACTTAATATGTAGTATGTTTTATGTATTTTATATCATTTGACGGCCTCGGTGATCAGACGGTTTAGCACACCGCTTTCGCATTGTATGCATGAGTATGATTGTTTGTATAGGTTTGGGTATATTACATGTAAATATTTTTTTACTTTTTATTTATTTAACTTTAATGCACACAATATACAAAATATAGTAAAGTACATTTGGCGGACTTAACACCATGCGGCATTTTCTACCAGTCAACCATAGGTGGTGCAGAGAATAGATGTTGGCGGTGCAAATATAATAAATGATAAATAAAATGTAACAGAATATAAACAGAACGATGAATACAATATATATCTAAGGAATACAATCATAAATTACATAAATTATGTACGTATTTAAAAAAATAAAACCTATGTATTGATATCAGTTGCCTATAGTACCCATACATAAGCTTATATTTTATAAAATAAAACTGAGTTGCCAACTAAATAAGATACTTGATCATCAGTACGAAGATATCCTATATCTCGTGAAAATTTTGACAGAGCCAAAATTATATATATATTCTTTATTGCACTTTTAAATACAGTTCTAAACTTAAACATATACAAAGTGAGCAAAGGTGGACTTATCTCTAAGAGAGATCTCTACCAGTCAATCCAACAATGTGGCATAGCTAGTAGTGAGTAGGTAACACCTGTGCAATTAACACTATTATGTTGAAATGTCCAAAAGTTGAGAAAAATAAAACATTTAAATTGTGTTAGTTTTTAACATCCCCTTCTGCCTCCCTCCAATACATTGCCATCAAAATGTTCCGATATAAGAAGCGAAACCGAACCAATATATTTTTTTATTTAGATTTTCTACATCTTCATAACGCAAACGTTTTAAGAAATGGCAACAAAAAAATCATTTTTAAAACAACGTAAAATTATATTGGAAGAAAGATGTAAACGTATGAAATTACGTAATTTATATTAGTATTAATTAAAAAGAATCAAATACAAGAGGGAATAATTAGTTAACAAAATTTTCAATGGCATGTATGATATGGAAGTATGACGGACTCGGTGATGGCCAAGCAGTTAACACACCGCCTTACTTCCAATGGTCGCGGGTTCGATTCCTCGCACGGCGTAAACATGTATACATGAGTATGATTGTTTCTGTCAGTCTGGGTGTTATGTATATATAATATGTATGTATTTATAAAAAAATATATATCTATTTATTTGTATCAGTTATGTAGTACTCATAACACAAGCTTTACCAAGCTTAACTTGGTTCTAGATGGCGCTGTGAGAATTGAATTTCATTAATTTCATTGTCTAATCTCTATCCTATTGAAACGCAGTATACAAAGCAAACTGTTTGAGTAGCTAAAAAAGGTGAATGAGGTACCACATAGACGACTTTTGACAGGCAACCTCTGGTAAATAGTTTCTTTATCAAAGATGAACAAGGTCGATATTCATTATAAGATTTTACCTTTGCCAACTTTATTCGTGTATCGTGTCATTTCATTGTCTAATCTGAACCCTACTGAAACGCAGTTTAAAAAACAAACTGCTTGGCAGCTGAAATAGGTGAGTGTGTACCCATGTAAACTACTTTTTGACTGATTACCTCTGGTAAACAGGTTGTTTATCAAAGATGAACAAGGCTGATATTGATCCTGAGATTTTACCTTTTCCAACTTTATTCTTGTAGCTGCCTTTTCGAACTCTGGCTTGATACGTTTGCAATGGCCGCACCACGGGGCATAGAACACAACCAACGCGTGCTCAGCTTTTGATAAAACACTGTTAAAATTTTCCACTGAAACCAAAAAAAATATTTTTTAATATTAATAAAACAATATCCGAAATAGTAAACTGCATATTTCAAATTAATTATTATGGATATATTTACATAGAGTTTTGTGCGATTGTCCTGATACTAATTATAAAAGTAAATCGACGTTTTAATATACAGTACCTTTTATAATATTCCTCACAAATAACTTGGTCCTATAATACATAATGATATCAAATTATGATCCAGAAATGACTAATTTTGACATGGCACATTTCAAATTGACATTAGAAGTGGTTGATGTAGATTTTAATCATAGAACAACTAGGACAGTACGAAGTTTCTATTTGTAATTTATATTGTTTTTTTTTTCAAATACATTTCGTACATTCGACGCTTTTATTATTAAAAGTAAACAAATAAGTGAGTGATGAATGACTTGGAACCTTAAAACATTATATTTTTACTCTTTATTGCCCAGACTTTCCGTAAATAATATAATTTAGAGACAATGTGAGCAAAGATGGACCTGTCCCTAGAAGAGATCTCTTCCAGTCAACCAAAAACAGTGGCATAGTTGAGTGAGTAACAATTGGTGCAAAATATTATGAAACGAACAAACATTGACACATACATTTTTTATGTATGTGTCAATACGTTACATGTTATGTATGTACATATACATGTAAATGGAATGGCATGGAAACTGATGATTGAGATGATTTCATTTATTCATCATCGTTTACAATGTGTTGGACTGATTGTAAACTGTAATTATTTAATTAAATCTCAATCAATTGTTTGACTTCGATCATATATACAATACATAGTTTTCTAATAACCTCATCATGAATCGCAAGCTTGAAATCTTCAATATAATAATAATAATAATATTCTAAGGACAATTCACACCACGCCATCTAGAGCGTCGTTAAGCTAGCTAAAACTTGTGTTAAGGGTACAAATACATAGATATTTTTTTTCGTAGATACATACATAATATATAGAAAACACCCAAACCGATAGAAACAATCATTTTTTTATTGGGTTTTTTGGGCTATTGTCATCTGACAATAGCCCAAAAAACCTAACCCAAGATACCTGCACCTGCAGCACTGCGACCTACATAGATCTATTGTGCTCGCCCTTTTTCAAAGTCAAACAATCATACTCATGAATATAAATGTTTGTGCCGTGCGAGGAATCGAACCCGCGACTATCGGAAGTAAGGAGGTGTTCTAAACCGCTAGACTGCCGAGGCCTTCATATCTAGGAAAAGTTCACGTCTTTATCCATTCGTTCATATTTTACGATATATGGCGCACAAAAGTGAAATCGATATTTCCCGTGCAGTAACTTTTGGTTTCACGTTGCAATATTTTGTTATAGATTTGTAATCTCGTTATTTTGAGTCTGCTCGTTTATTATTATTATTATCTATGAATGGTTTAGCACGCCGCTTTCCTTCCGATGGTCGCGGGTCGGATTCCTCGCACGGTGCAAACATTTGTATTCTTGAGTATAATTGTTTGTATCGGCCTTAGTATTTTCTATATATTATGTATGTATTTGCAAAAAAATATCTGAGTTTAATTTAGTTAAGTTTATATGAGTTGTCTAGTATCCATAAAACAAGGTCTGCGTGCCGTGCCACTAGATGGCGCTGTGCGAATTGCCCAGAGTCATTTATTATTATAATTTAATATCACTAGCGCACACTTTAATAGGTACTAACTGTTAAACATTACATCTCTTAAAAAGCATAAATGAAAGTAAGATTTTACGACATATTTGAAAATATAATATGAATTAAGGATACCAACCATCTAGATGCACAACATCAGAATCCTGCGACCAACTTTCATCTGCTACTTCGGTTTTTTTCTGCTGTAACTGTGTCGTGGGGTCCTTTATGAAGTCTACTATAGCCTGTTTCTTATTTTCGCCGTTGTACGGGAATCTGAACTGCCCTTTCCTGCAATAATTTTATAAAACAAACATTTTTATTGTATAATAGACTATTCCATTCTGAGATACTGGGTGGGACACACATGAGTTGTCCTAGTTTAAGTAATTATTACTAACAAAATTTTACTACAATTATCCGATAATAAATTACTATTACTATTATTTATTATTATAATATAAGTATATGATGTATGGATTCGATGTGTGTATTCATTATGCTAGAGTAATCATTACTAATATTATAAATGCGAAAGTAACTCTGTCTGTCTGTCTGTCTGTTTTTGAAGCTAAATACTTGAAACTTATTTTTGAGGCTGTTGATTAAATATAAATAAATGTGACATTCAAAGTTTGTAAAAATTTTAACCTTAAGGGGGTAGTATATCATATATGCTATTATCTAAAAATATATTATATAAATTGGCCGATATACAATGATAAGTGTCATGCAGACGAAGTCGCGCGGGACAGCTAGTACACATATAAACGCGTTTCTAGCATTGTAAACTGTTACAAGAACAAGACAATGTATTCAAAAAACCGTTACAATGTGTCAGTAAAACTATATAACTATAAACGCTGCCAGAATCTATATAAAATCTAAAAATTCCTAAATTTAAGTCTGTTTTATTCCATTTTCTTTAAAAAACCGTAGTAAGACATAAACTAATTCAATTAAATAGAAATAATATAATTTTAAGATTTTTGTGGTTATTATAGATTGTGATTGTGATTTTTTACCACGACATGTTTGTAGTTTTAATTTCATTTATTATAAGTTTTATTTAATTATATAGAATTTATTTGGAAATTTCTTGCTAACCACATTCTGGCTTACAAATATTATGCTACGTAACAATGTAAATAACTATTTACCGTATTTGTCTGTATAAATAAATCATTCATTCATTTTGAAGAAAAGGTTGACTTTCGAGTTTGACTAATGACTTCAAAAACATTCTTGATTATCCAAACCCCAAGACAGTAGGAAAGTTACAAAAGTTAAAGTAGGTCGATTTACATGTATAGTGATTTTATATCGTTCACATTCACCTAATGCAGAGTCATATCAACCATTATTGAATAAATATCTTGCAAGTTAAAACAAGAAGGACAAATGTACCCTTAAGTGGTCAGAAGAGGGAAGTGAGGCGTTTAAATAATATAAGTCTCCCACACGGATTGATATGACCCTCGCATTGATAACAGATACCTCCAAGTTCTGTGTAGGCGGTTTGTAACAGCAGATAAACGGCAGAGGGGAATGCTTAGATAACTTCTATATAAAACTAACATTGTGTCAACATAAATATACACATATGTACACTTACACAAATATTTGGCTTACGATCTTGAATTATTAAATTCTAATTGAAACATCATTTATTCATGTAGAACATTGTAGTCGCTTATGAACATGAAGTTTTTTGTAATTAATATTTTTTAATGTGTAATATACATATGTACACATACACAAATATTTGGCTTACGATCTTGAATTATTAAATTCTAATTGAAACATCATTTATTCACGTAGAACATTGTAGTCGCTTATGAACATGAAGTTTTTTGTAATTAATATTTTTTAATGTGTAATACACATATGTACACATACACAAATATTTGGCTTACGATCTTGAATTATTAAATTCTAATTAAACATCATTTATTCACATAGAACATTGTAGTCATCAACATGAACATGAAGTTTTTTGAAATTAATATTTGTTAATTTAAACAAAACTCAACATTCATAATCGTATAAGATATATATTAAATACTGGCTGTATCCACGGGGTTACCCGCATGCAATTTATAGCCTATATATTATTGTGATGTAAGTACTACTGTAAAATTTCATCAAAATGCGTCCAGTAGTTTGTGGGTGAAAAATTATAAAACATACATCCATCCATACTTATAAACTTTTGCGTTTATAATATTAAAGATTATTTTACAGCTATAAAACATTTCCAAAATTATTTGAGGGATGTCTAATCATTATCTATACCGATCACAAACCCCTTATATCTTATAGATAAAATTCTCGTGTCACAATATTAGTTACCATACTCCTCCGAAACGTCTTGACCGATTTTTATTCAATTTTGTATGCATTTGAATCGAGTAGGCCTGGGTATCGGCTAATATCCATTTTCGTACCCCTAAATGATAAGGGTGACCCAGCCCTAAATATTTTTTTTTGTTTCTGATCCTTTTTTTTTATAATATGGCATACCAAAATATTCCTTTTCTATTATCAACCCCTTCTATCTAATTAACCCTTTCTACCAACAACCTCTATTTTTGAATAATAAATTTTATTTTTATTTATTAAAAACTTAATTACAATAGTAGCATTTTCTACCAGCCAACCTTAGGGAGTGCAGAGATAGTCGAATGTAGTTTGGTTTATAATTTTTATGGCAAAACAATGTTTGCGGGGTCATCCAGTACCTACGTATATAATCTATACATATAAATAAAATTGGAGTGTCCGTTTGTAATATTGAAATAACCGTTTTTTACTACATGTATATGAACATGAATATAAATACAGTACATACACCAAAACAACATTTCTTACAAATTTGTCTGTCAGTCTATTTCTTCCGGCTAATCTCTGAAATGGCTGGACCGATTTTGACGGGACTTTTTTGGCAGGAAACTGATGTAATAAGGAGTAACTTAGGCTACTTTTTTTTTAGTCCGCGTGGAATTTAAAATAAAGTTATATTCCACGCGGACGAAGTCGCGGGTACAGCTAGTAAATAAATAAAGATTGCTAACGAAACACTTCGTACAATCATATAATTATAATAGTTAACCGCAGATATATGTCACATAAGTGGACATAGAAACATTGTTGCACGTTATCAATTATTGAGAATTCACCGTCCCACGGTTCTCGACTACAACAGAATCGCTGAATCACAAGAATGCAACGACTACTAACAACAAGCCACACCTAATGCGCAGAATATGCTTGTTCTAATATTACAGTTTTATATAACTACATGTAAAAACCTATTGCGATATATCCAAACAAATTGCGAGACTGTACCTACCAAAAGAGTATAGGTATGCTGCATTCGTGAATAATCGCAATTGAAGTCATCCCGGTATAAGGTGGTACTCGTAAATTAATTAGAAAAGTCTTTTTTGGGCAATGGAATCTTGAAAAAAATTATTCAGAAATAAAGAATCAATTGATCACAATTTAAGTGCTATAAGCCGATAAAAGTGCTACTTGTTACCTCGTTACTCAAATTACTTATTAAAAATACGTTTTTTTGCCAAATGTGAATATTGAAAAAAAATGTTCAGAAATAAAAAATCACTTGTCGTACAATTTCAGTTGTAGGTCAGTTCACTAACGCAGATCATTTCGAATATCCTTAGTAATATTATAAATGCGAAAGTAACTCTGTCTGTCTGTCGTGCTTTCACGACAAAACTACTGAACCGATATAAACGAAAATTTTTACACAAATAGTGTAGACCCTTAGAAAGGACATAAACGTTTTTGATGCAAAAAAAAGGGTTGTAAGGGGTTGAAAAGTGACATAAAAGGTTGTATGGAGGTATCGTAATTTTTAAAGCTAGGAGTTTGAAACTTATTTTCTAGAATGTTTATTAAATCATCATCATTGCTTTGCCTTTATCCCATAATTTGGGATCAGCGCAGTATGTCATTCCCTTCCACTGTTTATTACATATAAATAAATATTACATTCAAAGTTTGTAAACAATTTAAGGGAGTAAAATAAACTAAACTAAAAGTATGTATAGAACTTCGTCATTTAAACCATAATCTTGAGGGCCTCGGTGTTCTAGTGGTTTACCACACCACCTTACTTTCAATGGTCGCGGGTTCGACTCCTCACCGGGCACAAATATATGTGTTCATGAGTATGATTGTTTGTATCGGTCTGAGTGTTGTATATAATATAATATGTATGTATTTACGAAAAAAGTTCTATGTATTTGTAACAGTTATCTAGTACCCATAACACAATGTTAACATAGCGCCATCTAGACCAAAGTTACGCTATGGTCTAGATGGCGCTGTGTTAACATGTTATTCGTCGTCTATTCCAGGCGGACAAAGTCGCGGGCACAGCCAGTATAGTTATATAATGAAAGCAAGATAACATTAAATACATTACTATTACTACTAGTAACTAGTCACACAACATACTTTCACACCTTACCTATCATACTGACACATATCAAAATCTACAATATTCTGTTTTAAAAACATTTTAGTAGTCATTTTTACTTTACTGTATTACATAATTAGACAGATATATAAATTCAAATAATCATTACATAACATAGTATAAAACAAAGTCGCTGTCGCTATCTGTCGTTATGTATGCTGAAATTTTTAAAACAACGCAACGGATTTTGAAGTGTTTTTTTAATTGATAGAGTGATTCAAGAGAAATGTGTATATATATAATACATGTACACCCGTGCGAAGCCGGGGCGAATAGTAGTAGAGTATAAACTATGTTAGTAAATTACAATATATATCATTACTAGCTAGTAAGGATATATATTGTGATTTACTAACATAGTTTATAAGATAGTTACTAAAATAATATGGATGGATATAATAAAACTTAATAATATTATAAACTATGTTAGTAAATTACAATATATATCATTACTAGCTAGTAAGGATATATATTGTAATTTACTAACATAGTTTATAAGATAGTTACTAAAATAATATGGATGGATATAATAAAACTTAATAATATTATAAACTATGTTAGTAAATTACAATATATATCATTACTAGCTAGTAAGGATATATATTGTAATTTACTAACATAGTTTATAAGATAGTTACTAAAATAATATGGATGGATATAATAAAACTTAATAATATTATAAACGCGAATGTTTGTGAGTATGGATGGATGTTCGTTGCTCTTTCACGCAAAAACTACTGAACGGATTTCGATGAAACTTTACAGCTTAAACATCACAACAACATATAAGCTGTAAATTTCAGATGAAACCGCGGGCACAACTAGTAAATAATATTTATTACACTTTACGCTATACAACATGAGAATTATAAAAGCTGATGCCACAATTCTCGACTTACATGGCGCATTCACAATAACAAAACTAGATCGTCTTTCATGCTTGAAACAAAACAATCACGGGTTGTAATTACATATGCATTATAAGTAAAAATGGTTAGTTATGGGAACTACAATTGAAGGCACATAAAATATTTTATGTATATATATTTAAGTATATTGAATAACTATTCTGCTGTTGACTAGTGAACTTGACTTGATGAAATAACCGAAAGTACTACTTTTCGAGCCCAATTTTAGCATAAAATAAATAATTCATAATATAGTCTCGGTGGTCTAGCGATTTAGTACACCATTTACTTCTGATGGTCGCGGGTTCGATTCCTCGCACGGTGCAAATATTTGTATCCATGAGTATGATTGTTTCCATCGCTCTGGGTATATTCTATGTATATTATGTATGTATTTACAAAAGAAAATATATCTAATTTGAGTTGTCTAGAATCCCTAAAACAAGCTCTGCATACCGTGGACTAGATGGCGCTATGTTAATTGTCCAGGGTTATTTATTATTACTTATATAACAATGTTATTAAGATAATACAACGGTTACATTTCTATTTTCTGTCCGTATGCACTATGATTTGAACTACTGACTCTATTTTGTGCAATAATAACTATTTACTGTACGATTTTCCATAATAAATTGTAAATAAAAAAATAAATAGAAATGTGTATATTAGGTTTAAATACGAAGATACTTCCATACAACCTTTAATCTTCCCTTTCAACCCTTTTTACGCATTAAAAGTTGTCTATGTCTGTATATGAAAATTTTATTTAAAACGGTATAGTAGTTTTGGCGTGTAAGGATAAACAAAGGTAATAAAATATATTATTAGTTTGGAATATAGTATAAGTCGTCAAGTAGGTAGTTACAGAAATACATTGCAATTAAACGACCCTCCTTCTGGTGGTCACATTTTCGGTTCCAGGATGATACAAACACCAGATGCAGACTACGAAAAGTCGTCTGCGTAAGTAGTACAATCTCGCCTATTTCAACCCACAAGCAGCTTGCTTCAGTTTAGTATCAGATTGGGCATTGCAATTCCTTGTCATAAACCAAAGCATAGTTTATCTTATCAATAACAACTTATAGCTCTGGAATGGCAAAGCATGAGTGGTATCACGTAACATGGTGATGTTCATGTATACATATAGGCCATTACCAGTTACCATCAGTAGGTCGTCAGCTTGGTTACCATTATAGTTACTTACGTAAATACTGTTAATAAATATTACAGAAAAATAATTATTATTACTATAAGAAACTGTCAACTAAATAATAATAAACAATGTTTCCATTGCATTTTAAAATTCCGTTAACACTTAATTCAAACAGTAATACTTACTCGTAATATAAGAGTGTTGGAAAACCGGTTATGTTATAAACTTGTCTTATTTTCGAATTACCCGGTTTGGCAACGTCAATAGCAGCCAACAATGCTTCACCCTGAAAAAACAGGAGTTCTTTATATTATATCTATTATATGGACCCTTGGCACGTCGAATCTTTGAGATACATTTTAGTTGATGTATAATATTGTGATGTACAATTATACTTATTTATAAGTAACAATTATTATGTTAGAAAGAAAAGGTTCGCGTTAAATAATCTAATATAGTAATTCATCACATTACTTACAGTTTATTGATACTTTATATATTTTGATAAAGAGTTCCAAGTTTAATACATATGTATTTTTTTAGTAATAAGTGACTTTAGTAGTAAGTATAAGTAAGGAGCCAACAGAATATCAGCGCTGCAGATTTATCTGTAGCATTATGCTGAGTTGGCTTCCTTTTCACTTTTACGGCACATAAAGTCATCTACATTTCTTTTATTAATTCATATTTTTTCTATATCTCATGTGTGTTATGTGTCTGTAATTGTTGAATAAAGAATTTATCTATATAATATTATATATATCCAGACACACTTTCATGGCTACGTTTTATATACTCACAACTAAATAGCAGTATGTATCTTAATTAAATTTGGAATGAAGATATTGTAGACTGTAAAACGAGGGCAAATATAGGCTACTTTTTAGCTAAAAATGCAGATAAAATTGAAATGGACACAAATAATATATACATATACGTATATACTATCTGTACTATACCAGGAGCACAAATCTTTGAAATTCTTTTCCTTTTTATATTATAATATATACCTGTTATGTATATATAAAATTTCCTCTTGAATCACTCTATATTGTTGAATCTTCATTAAAATCCGTTGCGTAATTTAAAATCTAAAATTATGTTGTATAGTATTTAAACGTATATTTATATTGATTTATATACACATATAGTTTAATTGCACTCTCCAAAGTGAAAATAAACTTAGCATTGACTAACACGTCAAGGAAACTTGACGTTTAAACCACTCCACTGTTTCTCTATCCCTTGGTAAAATCGGTGATCTCATTCTGTAGAATATTCGTTAGATTTGACATATCATAAGTTTTTAATAGACCTACATGATAAAGATATTTTGAACTTGGAATTGTTTTTTGAAAGTTATTTAAATTCATAGAATAAGAATCATCATGAAGCATCATACCTTCAAATCAGCTGCAGCCGCTACATACTCTGGTTTCAATGTCTTACAATATCCACACCAAGGAGCATAGAACATGATCATTGATTTCTTGTACGCGGCCGCACCCTTCTTGAGAAATTTAATTAATGCCTATAAAAGACAAGATTGATTGCAGTTAACAATACATTCAAGAAGTTAAAACAAATTAAAAAATAGTAATAAAAAAAACAAATTATCATATTTACAATAAATTGACTATACATAAGAATAAAATATTTAAATAATGAAATTGTTAGCTGTTGTTTTATTTTTGGTATTTGCGCCGGCAACAATTATTCTCTCCAGCACCTATAGTTAACTAGTAGAAACCGCAGTGTTATTCTGTCAAATGTACTGTACTATTTTTTGTATTGTGTCCATTGAAGTTAAATAAATAAATAAAAACTAAATACTATATCCTTACCTATAAATCACACTAATGTATAAACAATTATTTAATCTCCGTTTCATAATGACGACATTGAAGGCAACATACATATATCAGAAATCTGTTTGTTACCTTTTAAGGACTGAACATCTGAATGAAAATAATGAAATTTGGTATAAAAATAGATTGCATCACGAGTACGGACACGGAGTATGGTTATCTTTTCCTCAAAAATGGATACAAAGTGGCAGATAAGTGCTAATTTCAAATAAAATATACAATAGACAACAGTAAACATTGAAATAGGTCCAATGAGAGACTAAATTCAGAACACCGAGTCTAACATATAATACAATACAATATTCAAATTAACTTAGTAACATGTGAGACCATTGTTAGCAAAGGGCACTGGTGGCCCCAATACCAGCATGTACCTACCATATCAGGCCCGCCAACAAGCGGTCGCCTCTGAAAACTATCGTGAATATTTCCTAGAATATTCGCCAAAATAGCCGCCAGTGTGATATACATTGTAGGACGGCCACGGTGGTTGTGTAGCACACCGCCTTAGTTCCGATGGTCGCGGGTTCGATTCACGGCACAAAGATTTGTATTCATGAGTATGATTGTTTGTATCGGTCTGCGTATTTTCTATCTATAATATGTATGTATTTACGAAAAAAAATCTTATAGTATTTGTATCAGTTATCTAGCGCCCATAACACAAACTTTAGTTCACTTAACTTAGGTCTAGATGGCGTTTTGTGAATTGTCCTGATATTATTATTAATATTTATACATTTTATATTCTCGATTTCTTCGGTGTTATACGTTAGAATTATTATTTTTATCGTTGTTGCCTCATTAACTCATAGGACTTGGAGGAGGCCTACGTCACATAGTGACATTAAGATGGGAAAAAAAAAAAAAATATAAACTAACAGGATCACAGTTACTGCCTAAACACATGTATAAATTTGTGAAGTTAATAGTAAATAAAGGTTTTTATTTATTTATACTATTATTGTGTGTCATTACATAATCACCTACGAGTTGACTTACGCAACTTCGTTAGCATCAGATTTTCATTTATCAACGTTTGTTTCATGAGCATGATTGTTTGTCTATTCACTAGATTTTCCCTTTTTTGGAACACTATTAGTTGCACCTCCACCCCTATTTGTCGGAGCGTGATGTTATATACCTTATACCTTTTTCGATAAAAGGCCTATTCAACAATAAAACAATTTTTTTAATCGTTCCAGTAGATCTAGAGATTACCCCTAACAATGTTACACATTTCATCACTTTATACTGTAAGTATAGAGGGGTAAATAGATAGTAAACTGCACTAATAACCCCATAGCTAACAATTCACCATGTCAGCTTGACCTCCACGCTTTTCACTCTGGAAACCATTACATAGTTTGCCAAGTTGGGTTAACTGATCTGACATCGTGCTCATACATATATAGTTTTTAAAATAAACAATTGAAGGAGTTTACAGAACGACGTAAGACAAAGTAAAGCAGAATGATAAGTCATTCTGCTTTACTTGGTCTTACGTCGTACAACAATTTAATAATATGAGACTAATTCAAGTCTCACCCGCCATATATAACACATATATAAGTATAGACATAAAATATAATAATAATACATACCTCTCCATCAGGTAGATGAAAAATATCTGTGGCCGTGGTGTCCTCTTCCCACGGCAAGTCCCCGGTAGGGTCTCGGAGAAAATTCGCCATAGAACTGACGGTCTCACTTCTATCGTAGTCCTTATGGAAGTCACCATCTTTGTAGTGCCTCAAGTAGTAAGGGTTTGATGATGGTACTTTCACCTTTTTACATAGTTTCTTACCTTCACTGGAAATTGTAAACGTAAAGTTTATTTTTTCTGTAACTGGAATATAAAGCTAAATTCTGCTGTGTTTCACCTATTTCTGCTCAGCAGCCTTATGGAATGTGTTACGATTGAAGTGTAAGACAAGGCAGTAAGTACAATTATAGGATACGAAGGTCATCTTAGACCTCTAAAATAGCATGGGTATTATGTTCGTCTCAATATATCATGTACGTGGTATTGTAATTGTTGCTTGTTCATATGTAACGGTCATTTTCTAACATGTGGCCGACAGCTTGTCTGCCATTAACGACGAACTACATTAATTTTTGTTTTATTTAATCGGAATCGGAATTTATTTAATAAGAAGAATTAGAATCAAACACGCTATTGTATGAACCGGATGGTCAGCAGACATCACCAAAATAGCACACCTATTACCCTGTAACTGCCTAAAGTTTACATAACAAAACATAACGTAGTTGCGAACTCGTGCAACAAAGTATTATTCATAACACATTCATACACAGGCATTGTTAACTGTATCCGTAGTGGTGAAAGGACATGTCCACATTGAGAATACTTGAATCCAACCGGACAGGGGCAATTTTACAGTCGCCTCTTGGATTAATTCTGTTTATTATCGACGATTTCCGCCCCTTGAGATTTAGTCGGCGATTTAAATTGGCACACAATGTTCTTGGTGTCAGTTTAAATTTCCAATGCAAGAATCAATCTCACACTCTTTGATGTCTTTATTCGTATACATTGTAGGGGCCAGTAATTCAATGCCAATTCTCCTCGACTAAAATAGCCAGCGAAACAGGTTTAAACATTTGGACACATACAAAGTAACAAAAACTGTCTCACAATATTGATTTTACTTCGAAGCCTGGACAGTAGCAATTTGCTATCTATAAATTAGTGCAATAAACTGACCCACGATATTGATTTTACTTCAAAAGCTTGGACAGTAGCAATTTGCTATCTATAAATTAGTACTATAGATGGCTTAAGGGAGAGACTACCCTATTGAGCCAGCCCAGACGCTTTATTATTAATTTTAGGGTGTTGCTAGGTAACCGCCTAGCAACACCCTACAGTGCCTAAGGGTGTACATTTTCGAGTCCAATTAAATGAAGAGTTGTGCACTCATTAGACTTGCACTGTACACTACCTACCGGGCCAATTAGTAACTTTATTGATTATAGATTAGGGTGGAATATAAAATATGATATAGCCTTACCTATTATTACAGTCTATGAGTACTAGAGTTGCCTGTCCTTTTACAATATCAGCTGTATCCTTGAATACATCTATAATGGTCTGTGAAGACTTTGGTACATTCACATATAGTATTAAAACATTTGTTTTAGTCCTTAATAGCTTCTTAAATTCCTTTATATCATCCACATCGGTCACAACTGATGACTTTTGTTTCTTCGCTTGAACTGATATTTGTGCTAATATAAATAACAAGGGTAGAAATATCTAAAACAAAATATGACAAGTTTAAGGCACTTGTATGTGCACATTATACATAAAAAAAATTCTTATTTAAATATAAAAACGTTAACATCACTTAAATGAATTAAGTAAGTAGTCCTATATTGTATTGTACATATAAACCTTTCTCTTGAATCATTCTATTCCAGTAAACTAAATTAAAATACGATACGTAATTTAATAGATATAAGGGAACAGACGGCGGTGGGGACTTTATACTATGTTAAGATTTTTAAGAGTTTCATGTTTACATTAATGCTATTTTACTTTAATTATACAATATTTAACTAAATTATAACATCTACATGTATATAGTTAAATACGAAATACTTAATACGAACTTTACTTTTTTTGATGCAGACATTTACCTATATTTTTGAAATTAGAATTACTTAAATTCTGTGCCCATAGTGAAAGAGTTAAAAACATTTTTATATAAAAAAAACTAGCAGCCTCGTTTTCATCCGCGTGATATTTATAGCCCATGTGTTATTTTGATGTATAAGCTATATTACTGTATGAATGATGTATAGGCGATAAATTTCACGCGGGAAAGGTAGTAGACTGTAATTTTAATTATCTATCACACCAGACACTCAGACATGTGGGACTTAAAGATTTGTGGAGATATGAGCTAAAAAGGTATTGAGCATATTACTGACAACCTCAATGACTTATAATGACAGTCTCAGTGCTATTGGTTTAGCACACCACCTTACTTCGGATGATCGCAGGTATGCTTCCTCAAACAGTTTCAATAGATGATAACGGAATGGTGCACCCGCACCTGCACTAACGATTTGCGCTGACGGGGCACAAGTGGTGGATGATAAGACGGGCATGAGATCAGGTCACTTTGTCCATCATGACAAATTCGCCAAGAATTTATAAGAATGGTTTCCAGAGGGAACCGCTTGGAGGTCAACCTGACATGACATCAATCCACATTATTAACAATCCCCTTTCTCCCCTTCCTTGCACAGTACAAAGATTTGCATCCTAGGGGGTAGATATTAATAATACAGATAATAGTACTTCACTGATAGCAGTATTCCACATCAAGGTGACCTCCACACTATCCATGATAACCATTGAGATCAATAACTAGTAATTTTGCTGCAATGGGCAAACTGACTGCATGAAGTCAGGTCATCATCATCATCCTTCACCGGTGCCCCGCCAGAGTAGATGAGTACAACATTCCATTACCATCTCTAAGAAATCATTTGTATATATGAATATGATTGCTTGGTGTTTTCTATGTATACTATGTATGTGCATTTATAAAGATGTATTTATGTATATCAGTTATCCAGCACCCATAATACTAGCCCTGCTTACCTAGGGACTAGACGGCACTGTGTGAATTGTCCTGACATTCATCTACTTACTCAATAAAGGATACTAACATAGTGCATATAACATACTAGTTATATACCTATTCACCACTGTGTTGTATCCCGTATGTGATATTACCTTCAATTGCTACGGCACACAAATGTATAAGATAAAAAAAATTGGGACCCCTAGTCCCTATTATCTTCCCTCAATGCACTACAATCTATAATACCATACATAATGCAAGTTCAATTGAACAAAATTGATTTTGACTTATATAATAGTATTATTAGTAATAAGGCCTATCCTATCTCCACATGGTCACCAGGGAACCATCATGTTAAATTCCTAGCAAATTTACCATAATATGCTAACTGACCTAACTTCATCCTCCACTTGTGCCACACTAGCATACCATTAGCATATGTGGGGGTTGTACCATTCCACCACGTTTACAGAAAATGCGCATAGACAATGAAGTAATTTTTTTAATCAAAGTTAAAAATAAGAAGATTGCCATATTTTTGTAGTTATAGTATAAATACCTAGTCACATAAAGTACATGACGCATCATTCTGGGTGTAATGTTAACGGTACTATATATAATAGTAGTAATGTATCTGTTACATGCACCGATTAGGTTACCTTACCTTCCAAAACAGGTTTCCAGACATCATTCTTAAACTTTGTATTTTATTAACTAAACAATATTATTAATTGGGTATATTTATACTACGCTATAAATTCATCTTCGCCTATCTACTATGTTAGATACTGTCAGTGTATAGGATGTACCTTGCAAAGAATTGACTTAAATTATTTAGTTAGAAATAGTTTTATAAACAGCACAGAATATATGAAGTTATGTTAGTAGTTATAGCTATTGTGGTATATATGGATAACACTCTACAATTAAAAGCTAAATAAGATCCCTTTCTGTAAACAATTATAGATAAGATAAGATAACATAACAATTAATTCATTATCAATTTTAAAACTTTTCTACTATATAAGCAAAACGTGGAGAAATCATAAGTAGACGTCAATTAACGTCAAACTACAAATTGACAATTAGTTTCTGTTGAAATAGAGCACAGAGTACGTACACCTTAATCCTTTAATGCTATTCGAGTGCGCATTTTTATCAAAATCTTGTAATACTTACCCCTGCAAGAAAGAATTAATTAGCGTTTGTATATTTGTTACGTTTATCTGCCAAAATCGCAAAATGTACACTTCAAAGAGTATGTTTATTCTGACCATATAACTTTTAAACTATTTATTAAAATTACTTAGTGTGCAACATAGAATTTATTTTCTTTATATAAGATAATCACACGATGCGTCACCTAAGTGTAAATTTAAGGTTTAGGTATTTTTTGATGATCTAGACTTTACCAGTGACTCTATTAAACAGCATTTTTTAAATTATAACCTATTTATTGTAAAATTGTTTATTGTAGGTATATAAAATATATTAAAAAAATATAAAATATTACTGTAATGAAAAAAAATGTCATCAAAATCCATTCGGTAGTTTAGACAAAAAGCAATAAAGAGCAATAAATATATCGAAACAAATTTTCGTGTTTGTGATATTAATTGGGTGTAAAAAATAAGATAGAATTAATAGGAGGTACGTATAATAGAGTGAATATTCCATTTACATTTTATAAATTCATATTATATACGTATTCATAGTATATTAAAATTAATTGTGTGTTAAGATCAGACAGAAAACTAATTACAAACATTGTTTTCTTAAATAGAACATTTTATAAAATCTGAATTAGGTATGTTTTATGTTTTGTTAATAATTTGCCAACTGTGTCTTCCAGTTACTCGGTTCATAAATCCTTTCGTTCTGATTGGCTGAGCACTTAAGCCGGTGACAGGATGTCACTGTCAGGGGAAATGACGATACTAATTGATAAAAAAAATTCAAAGTCGTAGGGGTGACTGGATAAGGTCACGTAGGTCATTTATTTGAAGTAGACAAGTACAGTGTCAGTTCATTTTCAGTAAAAAATTTCAATATTTGCAAACCCTAACTAACGTCTGGTTGGTGCAGGGGTATAAATACCAAATTTGACGAATATTGATCACTAGATCCTGAGACTTCACTACGAGTGTTCGTATTCCAAATATTTTTAATTTTGATTTAGGCATTTGCAAGTACTTTTTCACAACGGTTAGATATTTTTAAACATATATTTGAATAAAGAAGAGGAAGACTACAGAAAACTTTTTCACTACTTTTGGAAAATATGTAAGTGAATACTTTACTTCAATATCTATTAATTGTGATATATATTTATGTATATATATATTGGTAATATTTAGTTACTTTATCTTAATTATTTATTACTTTTTATTTTATATATATTTTACGATCCTAGATGATAATGTAAGAATATCATTATTTAACCTTCCTTCAGTTAGTAGCTTTAATTATTATTATTTAAACAAATTTATATTTAGAATGAAATATGGTGCCTGTGAAATTAATCGATACACACCATTTTTTTTTCAACTCGAGCTATTCCATAAATAAGTGTTTTATCTACATATGTTCTTATGGTTTATTCTTTTTTATATTATAAAATAATGGAATACTATATATATATTATATTCTATAGCTAGCCAAGTTAAGATTAGATTAAAATTAAATATAAGTTCATTGTTTTAGTGCTTGTTTTTTAACTTAATATTAAGTTAAAAAACAAGCACTAAAACAAAGAACATACATATATATATAATAATAATAAAAAACCTTTGTTTCGTTATAAGTATTTACTTATATTTATTATATAACTATGTTTAACTTGCAAATTGTACTGTGTGGCAGATACATTGATTATCCAGAACAAAAATGTCCTTTCACACCCAAACTTCATGATGATTCAAGCACTAATATGTAGCGTAACACTCACACACACATTAACCGTACCATTATTATACATATGTCTATTATAAGGAATTGGGCAAATTTATTTATTCAAGTGAATAAATGTGACCAATTCTTAATCTTGCTGAGTATTAGAATATGTTTCTCCAGATTTATGTAGCTGGTCAAATATAAAGATAAACGGAGCGCAACTTTCAACTCTACTACACATATTCAATATGTCTGCCTTCATAGATTTATTTATTTTATTATAATTTCCAGTTAATACACAGGATTAACAGAACTGAAAATAAAAATTTAGTAATGTAATATTGATCTATACAAATAATCCAAAATATATTATTATGTCTGTTTGTAATTTCAAATTAACATGTTTTACAAAATAAATAATAAGAAAGAATATATGTTATTTACATAAGAAGATTAATGTTATATTTTTTGTCTATCTGTCGGTTTGTTCTTGCTAATTACTAAAAGGACGGGACAGGTTTTGACGGAGCTTTCACTCGCAGATACCAAATGTCCTATGGAGTAACATAGGCTACTTATATTTTAGAAATATTATTTCTTTAAAAAAAGTATAGATAAGATCTATATGGACAAAGTCATGGATAACAGCTAGTGAATTAATATGAATGATTATATCAGCTAACAAAACACTTTGTTTTGATTCAAAGAATGATCACTCATTTATATTATCTACAACATTTAAAATAATTTAAAAAAAAGTAGGCTCTGTTATGACATATATTATTATCTAGCACTGATTGTTTTACAACAATTAACAGTAATCACTAATTCTTTAAAAATACAAAAGTGATTGAGTAACATAAACAACCATTCTAGAGTGCTGAAAATGAAGTTTATATGCCTAAACATTAGTACAAAAATTAATTAATTTCCAATATTTCGTTGTGACAACTTAACTTATTATCTAAGTATAATTTGTAGTAAACAGTTATTACATGATACAGTTATCCTTAATATAATTACCCACTTGTTTATCTACATAGCACAATTATCAATAATACTTATTGATATAACTATGCCGTTATTATTAATCGCCATTCTATTTTTTAGTTCGAAAATACGAACTAGTATATTTAGAAATGAATGAAATCTACTATTCCTACTTACTAATACTATGAATTCCGAAATTATACTGTTACATTTCACTACTCTAGTAAACGGCTGAACGGATATTAATGAAATTTGACGTGAAGATAGATCATATCACGAGAAAGTCGTTGGCTATTTTTTTTCTAAATATAGCATACAAAGTCGTACTAGAGTTATAAAATGCAAGAGCTACAAACTGCTGCATTCTTCTCTGTTCTGATGTTTGTTACTCAATTAAGCTTAAGAGGTTGATTGTCGGATGTAATTTGGCATACAGATAGAGTACAATGCAAATTGATACACAGTATAATTTTATTTAAACTATCGGAAATGACAAAAATATTCTAGTAAAATATACTAGTATAAATATTCATAAATTACCACTAATCTATTTCAGTAATTTTTACGCACCCCTAACCCTGTCAACTACACTTAAAAGGATCCGATGTTCGCTACATGTCTGGGTTCCATAGATAATCCGGGAAAAAATTCCATAGACCACGTGACATGAGAGTTAGAAACTCTCATCTCACGTTGTTCATACATACTTATACATTTCTATCTGTTAATACCAATATTGCCTGTCAAATTTCGATAAATCTGATTAACAGTTGAGTTCTGAAGAAGTAGCAAACAGACAGACGGACCAAGGGTCATTCTCGTTTTAATGTATTATTTGACTCTAGTCCATTGTCGTGATCTATCTTCACGTCAAATTTCAATAAGATATGATCAACCATTTACTCTTGAAAGGGTAACAAATAATTTTGGGATAAAAGATTTTTATTGTCTCCGCGATCTACATTCCCGTCAAATTATAAAGTATATTTTTTAGGCGTTTAGTAGTGAAAAGTTAACAAACAGACTTCTGCACCTTATACTTATCATTTATAATGTTTGTATGGATAGATAAAATCGGTAGATTCCGAAATATAGCGGCATTCTATATATTATAATAGACATACAACGTCGCAATACATATGTAGCTTCTGTCTGGAGTTATTGATTTTAAAGCTTAAATATGGCGCTCACTGATGCTAATAGTACAATTCATTTTGATGTTTCATACGTTCACCAAAATTTTGTTGTTTTATTTTTCGAGAGTAGTGTAATATGGTCTCCAAATTGTATCGCTCTTGTTATGGTCTATTCAATTTTTCTATTTAGATTACAGAGTTTTAAGTAATACACAATCTAAGACAGAACTTCTTTTCTAGATGACATTTTTATTTTTTTTATATTTATTTATGTTTGTAATTAAATTTTAATCGTTTAATAATATTAATAGTATTGCATTTAAAAAGAAAAATAATCTTCCAGTAATTACGTACCTACGTACAGTATTACAATTAGCATTCACATTTTATTATGACTTAGACAATAATTCTGTGTTTACTGGAATAATGTAACATGAAACCCATTCTTCTATGCTGTACCACGGGAAACAATATCTTTGTTATTAATTACTAAGCATAATAAGGCTCGTTCTGTGATAACAAAGTGTATGTTATTATTTCACTGGAAATCTGCACCTAATAACCCGTCATCATTCCAGGATTTTGCCGATACTGCGAAACTTAAGATTAAAACAACGAAAACGCAAAACAAACTTTCGCTTATTAAGCGTCTGGGGCACGTCCTGTTATAATATACGTTCCCATAACTGCTTGTTCGCTATGTTAGCAAATTTACTTTGTGTTATCGATAAAAATGTTTCAGATTTATTATACCTAGTAAGAAAAGAAATTCGAGACCAAAAGGGACCAATCAATCTTTATTATTTAGTAAATATCTTTCATTATCAATCATTTAACTTTTAACAATACACACACGTAACACAATTACATACGCGTAATATTTTTTTCTAATTTAATGTTAGTAATCTATCTAGCAGTACAGTTACAGTGGTTGTAAATTGTTAGACCTCTCAAGTTGTCGTAACAAAATGTTATAACATTGACAATTTTTTTTTTCAAATCTTTCAGAATCGTATTATAACTTAAACTATTAAATACATGACATGTTCCTCTATACATGACCAATTTCGGACTAGATACTTTGGTCTGAATTAGCGTAGAGTACCGTTCAAAATGTAAACTTTTGTTTAAACATTGTAGATAACTCGTTATAGTTTATCAACAATGTTGTTTTCAAGTACGGTTTAATTAAAAATTTCGTAATATGTTTTAGACCTACAGCTGACTTGACTCGACTGAAATTATTAAATTATGTAACAAGTACTCAGGCTGGCTGTTAACCGCGTGTTTGTCTTTATATACTCCCCCAATTTCTCTCAATGTCATCCCTTACCCGACAGGGTAAAAATGACAATTTTTACACAAAAGGTAGCCTAAATTCGTCCTCTTGTACAATTATTATTATTGTTTATATTCGTCATGGTAAATTTATTTAATATACGTTTAGCCGCTTAGGTACTGAAAAGGTAGCAGACAAGCGTCCATGTTTATAATAATTGTTAGCCGCGACTTTGTTTAGAACCGGTTAACAACATAAATAATGGTCTCTTACAGTTCTCATAAAACATCAAAATGAGCCGCAAATTCATCGTTGGTGGTAACTGGAAGATGAACGGCGATACTGATCAGATTGTTGAAATCGTCAAGAATTTGACTCAGCTGCCCCTGGATCCTAATGTAGAGGTATACATACTGCTTTATCTATGTTATCTGGTTCAATCGCTGCATCATATGAACATTTGTGTTTTATGAGCATGACTGTTTGTCTATTTTTAAATTATTAATAATTAATGAAGCTTTTCCCCTGTTTTGTAACATATTTCATTCATTCCCACACAAAGTAAGGTTGCCAGAGGTTGACTTAAAGTCATCTACATGATCCCACTCTCACATATTTCAACTTCTAAGCAGAAAAGGCAGTGAAATTATAGAATATGACACATCGTAGTCCTCAGGAAGGTCCTCAATGTATGAGTGGTATCACGGTGTATATACGAAAGTGAAGTCTGTAGTGCTGTTCATGTATATTGTCGACGGTTACCGGTTATTAAGCGCGCCGTAAGTTTGTTGCCGTTAAAAAAAAATAGTATAATAGCCTTTATGTCTATGTACGTCCGTTATGTTCAGTATTCCATTAACAACGGCCAATTTTACTTAAATATTTCCCTCTATCGCGTGCCATAAGCATAACGAACAATATCAGAGAAGATGTTGATAAAGTTTGATTGTAGAAATAAGTACAAAATATCTTTAATTTTTATGATGGTCAAATTATGTGTTATAACATATCTGTGTGTACTGTATGTGCTAAGTTACAAAAAATAATTTAATAAACGAATGTCTTAAGAAAATGTTTACAAGTAATTAAATTTCAGATCGTGATAGGCATACCTTCAATTTATGTAGCTTATGTGAAGAGCATTGTTCCTAACAACGTTGCAGTCGCAGCACAGAACTGTTGGAAGGCTGCTAAAGGCGCCTTTACAGGTAAGTAGCAAACATCTTAATAGGTTTACTATCATATTTACAGACAAATAAGTCCAAGATCGATTACTGCCATGTTGGATTCATAATGTACTCAACATATTGTGAACATGTCAAGTGTGGCGTCGACACTTGATAATCTCTCTTACGATATCCTTTATCTGTATAATATTCATATGTCAAGACGTACCAGTAATCGCGGTTTAAAGCCAGGAATATATGAAAAGTCGAACACAATGCCTATACCAAGTTATTTAGCTGTGCTAGTAAATTAATACTCTTTTCATACGAAGAGGAGTCTGTCTGTGTACTGGGTCGTTGTAAATAAAATTAATACGTAAAGATAAGTATTTTGTACAATAAGTATGTATTATCATAAGTTCATTGTTAGGTACTTGATGATAAAGAATGTAGTTGGAAGCAGCATTCTATATACTGATAAGGGGCTATCCATAAATAAAGTCACATGTTGAGGGGGAGTGGTCGACAAACTGTGACGTTAATTGACAGGGGTCCTAAATTTCGTTGTCTCATTTTAAAATTACTCATCTATCAATACTAAAACGAGAAATTGTAACTATTAACAGAAAGTTAAAAAAAACTTCCTTGTCTGTATAAACATATTAATACATAGTTACAGAAGTTGAAGACATGAAATATTGGTAAGATTTGCCAAATAAAATGGCGGTTGTGATAGAGGTTCAAATATACAAATCCGTTTTTATTTTTTAATTATCTTATTGATTTTAGGTATTTTTATAAAATACGTAGAATAATATATTATACGAGGCTAATAATATAGAGCAGTGGTTCCCAATTGTTTTTTCCTGCGTAGCACTTCAAAAAAGAACTCGAACCTTGCGTACCCCTTATTGTAGCAATCACACTAATATTATGAATGTGATAGTTTGTGATTGAGTGTATATGTTTGTTTCACTGATAGCCGCACGTACCCCTTGATGCAACTTCACGTAACCCTGGGGGTACGCGTACCATTAATTGGGTAACACCGATATAGAGTAATATAATCAGCTCCATACATATATTAGGTACACGAGTATGTGTGTTCTTTCCGTAATAATCTGACAAAATACAATACTTTTAGGTGAAATCTCTGCGCCTATGATCAAGGACGTAGGCGCTGAATGGGTGATACTTGGTCACTCCGAAAGAAGAATTATATTCAATGAAGAAGACGATCTAATTGCTGCTAAGGTGAACAAAATTTAATTACTAATAAAGAGCGTCTACTACCGCATTGTTGTAATGTTGGCATAGTATGTATTTATTAAACGTTTTTCTAATAATTCATTATTACAAAGCAATTTCAATCGCCGCAATATCGCTCGGATAGTAGACTACAATTGTAATCATGCTTTAAAATTGCTATTGAACCAGTGTAACATTTACAGTGATAGTTATAATGGGAATAGAATAGAATAGATTGTAATGTCAATGTGCATATGGTGAGATGTGATAGTCATCACCGGATATGAAGTACGGCGGCATGACATCGTATCCAGGTATCCGCTAATGCTGTTGGGACAACCAGTGGAGAATGATAGTAACAAATTCATCAGAAATTAACTATAATGGTCGATCTAATATGGTATATTGCTGGCATCGGGCCATTAGTCCCTAATTCCTAATAATTTCTTGAATCGTCTCTCTCCTATTTGTTCTATATCTTTCTAGAAAAATATCAAATTAAATCTCTTTGTGCTATGTTCAGTAATATATGTTTTTATCATAGGTGGCTCATGCTTTGGAGTCGGGCCTAAAAGTAATAGCCTGCGTCGGAGAAACTCTCGAGCAAAAAGATTCTGGCATTACAGAAGAGGTTGTGACCAAGCAGATTAAGGCTCTAGTGCCAGCTATTGGTAATAACTGGCAGAATGTTGTGCTGGCTTATGAACCAGTTTGGGCTATTGGCACGGGCAAGACTGCTACTCCTCAACAGGTAATTGCATCTTTTAAAAATAAACCAACTTCGCTCCTCAGTATCTCTCAAATGGCGGCTGACTTCTTTAACGAATCGGATCATAAAATTCGGAGCTTACAACCAGGTTATAACTGGGATAACTTATAAACAACAGTAATAATATCCTAGGTCAATTCACACAGCGCTATCTAGTTCCTAGCCAGGCAGTACTTTTGTTATCGGTATAGTGGTATAGTGGTGGTAGTTATACTTAAACTTAGATACAATTTATTTTGTATATACATACATTGTAATAATTTGTAACAATTTTTATTTGTATATTATTACAAATAAAAATTGTTAACAAGTAACATTTTTTACAGTAACAGTAACATTTTTTTTCACCTTCGCGAAGAATCGGTGGTGTACTTAATCGCTAAATCATGCCATCAAAATATATAACAATTGCATGTATTCTCAGGCTCAGGAAGTGCATGCGGCAATCCGCAGCTGGCTGTCCACCAATGTCTCCAGTGATGTGGCCGAAAACATTCGTATTCAGTACGGAGGGTCTGTGACTGCAGCCAATGCCACGGAGCTAGCCGCTTGCGCAGACATCGACGGGTTCCTCGTAGGAGGCGCGAGCCTAAAGCCCGAGTTTGTCGACATTATTAACTCGTGTAACTAATGGCTCAGGTTGTGGTAAAACATGGACACGTACCACAGACAATCCACGTTTTTTTATGTTCTTACTAGCTGTTAATTCTCATTTTAGACTCAACTCCACAGTTGCGGTATTATGTAGAAAGTTTCACAGTAGCAAGCAAAATGGTTCGCAGCAGCAACTGTGTTACGGACGTTAGATTATATAATAGCAATTCTGTCATTCGATGACAGATTGTTAGCAACTGTGTTGTTCAATCCAGCGGCAAATGTAATTACGCCATACGAATTTGTGTATTAATTAGGATTAGTCGTAATAAGTTGAAACCTAAAAGCCTAATTATAGAAATCTAAAAGCAAGTCATATGAAAAATTTCAAACTGGAACAAAATATATTGAAAAGTTGTAATTTCAACCAGGTAACTGATTACTAAATTAAACTTAAACATTCTCTTTACTCGTTTTCCATTTATTTTACAGTTTCTTTTGAGGGGTACTGCTTATAAGACACTGTAATCTGAAAAATATAATGTAATTTATGTACTTATTAATTTTTTTTTCAAATTTCGTATTTGTCGTATCCAACTTCATTTAAATAAGTATATTTGATTGATATTTGTTTATAATAATAATCCCTTGTATAAGCTTCGATATTTCGTCGGCCATAAACCCTATTATTGTGGTAACCTTCCCGTCCTGTATAATAGGTACAAAAAGTTAAAAAATTTTTAAACATATCCACTGTCACATAATCAAATTTTAGGTACTTTTATATTGTCATTAAAGTATATTGTTTCCCCATATTTTTTTAATATTCAAATCAGTGTTGCAGTAGGAGGTAGAATAAGTATGTAGTGATAAGTCTCAATGATAAATGTAATACATATAATGTCATTACTTTTAATCTTAGTGATACGCCATACGCTATAAATTATGGCATTAGTTGTAATCGATGTTTGTGAAAGACGAGCGGACAATTTCATATTTCCTATTTCAAATGATGTTTAATTTTAAGTGCTTTTAAAATATTTTTGCTTTTTTCATCATTGTTTACTTCGTTATAGTTACTTTTAAGTAAATTACTATAGAATCGTGTTTAATTAATGTTCCAAATATGTTTGTTGCTTTTATTTCGATATCAGGTTTCCTTATAATTGAAACTGTTTAAAACATGCTGTTTATTGATAAATTTAAATAAAGATATTAAATGTGAAATGGATTTCATTTATTAAAATACATCACTCTAGTTAAAATGGTAATAAATAAATGCTATGAAATGGAATAACCACCAAGCATGAGCGTTACAAAAATTTAGGGGCGACACAATATAATCAGTGATATTAATAATATTGAAAAAACATCAAAGTCATAGGGGTAATACTGGATAAGGTCATGTAGGTCATTCATTAGAAGTATATGGAGATTTCATAGATAATTATATGAAATCGTAAAAGTGATGTCTGTTCTACCGTTAGATGATATAAATAAAGAGCCATTTTTCTAATATATCAGTTTTGTTTGATTTAAATATATATAATATTATAACCATACTATATTTTCATTATTTCCCAAAAAAACTTTTCCTTCCTAAATATTCTGTATTAAATTCTAGATGTAATAACTTCTTTACACGTTCTACTTCCTTCCCTATTAATAAAATATCATTAATATATATTTTCACAATAAAATATATGGAAATAAAATAAGTTCAATAAAAAAATGCAGTGTATAGACGTAATAAAAATATGATTTACTAACCTCATATATTGTTTTATTATTAATACAACAATAATACCTATGTGAGGTTTTTTTTAACAAATCAATCTAGACAACACCATTTTTATATTCCCGCCAAAACTTTGAAATTCGAATTATCTTCGGATGTTGTAATTTCTCGATAATTCCAATGAATTAATATTATCACAATAAAAAACCTTGATTTCTGTGCATCTGGCTCGTATCCAAGACCATATGAAGGAATTATTGAAATAAAATGTTCTGAATTGATATGCCATAAATCAATGTTGACAGGAAGTGCATATAAATAAGAACGAAAAATAATATTGACATGTATTAAAAACTGCGAAACGCCTTAAATATCTTCGTAACAATTATGTATTAGTATTGCACATTGAGTCCAGTAAAAGATTTCGGACGTAAACATTAACAATATGTAGCATATATTATATTGTTCTTGTACAGTATTTCCTATTCCGTTTAGTTCCGCTATTAATCTATCGAGGGTCATAAAAGTATCTTTAAATCTTAGTTACATTTTAAATCACATTAAATTCTTTTAAATGTAATTAATAAAACACCTTTTCATTTTAAATTTGTTGTATTTAAAGCGGTACTTCAGTTCAAAATTTCTAAACGTACAATGCATCTCCTTATATACAATTAAAAAAATTGCGATATTACTTCTTTATCTTGTAATAACATCGTTAATCTGAACTTTCAATCTACAAACGAATCGCCCTTCCGTAGGATCCTCAACAATTTTCCATATTACTTCTCTTGTATTGTTATTACAATTATTTTTAGTTCTATTTCACTTATAATATTATCATACTTGGCGCAGCGGAAGCGTGCATCGGGATATTATTTATGAACAAGCCAAATAAGTTACATAATTTTTCTGAGAGACTTGCAATCGTCTTTTATCGAGTTATATATGTTTTCTCTTTTTATATCAATTGATAAATAGAAATGAAACATTGAGTTTCATATCCAACAAAGTAGATAAATTCATTTAGTCTATCATTTGATTCACTGAAAAATTTGAATAGTCGCAAACCCTAGCTAACGTCTGGTTGGTGCATGGGTTTATATATAAAATTTGACGAATATTGATCACTAGACTGCGAGCCCTCGTTACGAGTGTCTGTATTGCAATTATATTGCACTGTAAGCGTTTCCTAGTGCTTTCTCACAACGGTCAGACATTTTTAAATTAATATTTTATTTAAATAAAGAATACTGCTGAAAATATTTTCGCTGCTTCTGGAAAATATGTAAGTTCATATTTTATTTAAATATATATCAATTAATCGTGATCCTTTTATAATATTGGTAATATTTTGTGAATTTATGTTAATTTATTATTTTAAATCTTTTTTACGATACTATATAATAATGAAATAATAACATAGTTTTACCTTTAGTTAATACACTTAATATTTATTATTACAGATTTATATTTGGAATAAAAAATGGCGCCTATGAAATTAATTAATACATATATTTTTTTGTAACTCGAGCTATTTCATAAATAAGTATTTTAGTTATTTATGCTCTTATTGTTTGTATTTTTTTTTATTATAATAGAGTACCAGTATATGACTTAACAAGCAAATATAATATTAAGTTAAAAAATAAGTAATAAAAAGAAATTATAATATTTGTCTTTATTTCATGTCTAGGCACGTAGCATCTTGAAATATTAAATAAAATATAATAAATAGCTTTATTTAATTAGAAAGTATTTTATAATATCATATTTATTATATAATTGGCTTTACTTGCCAATATCAACTGTTTGGCAGACGTATTGATTATTCGGAACAAAAAAAAGTCCTTTCAACTCAAATTTCATGAAGATTGGTTGAGTGACAAAGCATTAATTGATAATTGACATGTAACACTCAATGAAAGTATATGTTTATTATAACGAATTGGGCATATTTATTCCCTCAATAAATTTGATAGATAAATAACGAAATATGGTAACCTAAAATATGAAAATATTATGAAATTGTTAAAAAATAAATAATTTGCAACTAAATTATACTTGCTCAATATTCCTGCATTCATGGAATTATTTATTTTAAGTTTAATTTCTGTGTTGTATTGAGAACTCAAAATAAAAATTTACCAATATAATAATAAAAAATGAAAATTGTCTCTTTGTAATTACAAATTAACATTAATGCACATGAGAAATTATGTTTTTCTTAGGTATGTAAATATTCTAATTATAAATTTTTGTCTCGCTATCTTGTCTGTTTGTTTTTGCTAATTACTGAAACGGCGGAACCTATTTTGACGGGACTTTCGCTCGCATATAGCTATTGTTCTATTGAGTAACTTAGGCTACTTTTATGTTTTAATTCTAAATTAAATTGAAAGAAGATAGAAAAGTTCTAGGTGTCCAATGTCGCAGTCGTGGATAATAGTTAGTGAAATAATACATTTTGATTTCATTCAAAGAAATTCATTTATTATTTACAACAATTATAAAATAATTGAAAACAAAGTAGACTCTGTCATAACATATATTATTATCTAGCACTGATTTTTTTAATTTACACAGTAGGTATTTGCTAGTAATTTGCCGTTTAACGTTATATATGTGCACCGATATCTTAAATTGTTCATATAATTTACAAAGCGGCTACTTACTGTTGGAAAAAGTCCTTCAGTAAATTCCGTTAATCCAATATTCATTAAAAATTCTAACATCCGTAAATATAATAAGTTGTAAAGTTTAGATTGCTATAATGATATACCATTTACTTTAGAGATGTGTGAGAGTAAATTTTTGTTAAAGTATTTTTCTATTTTTTTACGCTGGTGAAAACAATGGTATCCTTCCTAGGACTCTTGATTCACGATGTTGTACATATAACTCAAAAACTTGTTGATAATGCAATAAATATATAAACATTAGGTTGTAAATTTACCATTTATATACAGTGTTTTACTAACTAGATTTTGTATTCTCCTCATTAATTATAAATTTAAGGACCGCGTTCTTGTAGTTTGAAGTTTGTCCATTAATCTCTTTAGTTGTTTGATACAAAACGACTCTAAATGCTTATTGGCCACCTTGGTATGAAATATATACCCACGGCCTACAATAAAAAAAGAACACAATATATGTATGTATATATACAAATGTCGCATTGATACAGATAATGGGATTTAGATCAAAATATGAAAAAGTAAAATGATATATTAACTTTCATCATAATGCATTTTTATTACTTTCTTATTAGTACAAAGGATTTAAGAAATAAAATAAAGGAAAAGAAATAACTACAGCATATTTAAAGGCTTCATCATTTTATTGTGATAAAAAAATGTCAAATTTCGTCGCCGTTTCTAATTTATAATCCATCCCATTAGGGGAGTGTAATTGTATAAAAAGGAACCGATGTTCATTACATGATGGGAGGATTCCATAGATAATCTGGGACTCCTCTCACCTCATGCCATAAAAACATACTTATACATTACATTACATCTGTTAATATCGACTTTGTCCGACAAATTTCGTTTAACAATTCATGAAAATGTAACAAACGGACAGACGGACCAATGGTATTATATATATTATCTCATTAATTAAAATTTTTTTTTCATTGTCGTGATCTATCTTCACCTCAAATTTCATTGAAATATGCTTAGGCGTTTAGTCTTTAAACGGACAAATATATATATAATAGTTAGTTACTATAGAGAGAATCCGTAGATTCTGAAATATAATCGGTATTTTATATAATTTTAATAAAGTTTGTAAGAATGCATGTTTCTTGCTCTTTCACGCAAAAACTACTGAACGGATTTTGATGAAACTTTACAGTAATATAGCTTATGCATCAACATGAAATGTAATGCGGGTAGATACCGCGGGCATAGCTAGTTTATTATAATTATAATAGACATACAAAGTCGCAATATATAACATCCGTTTTAAGTTATTTATTAGTTATTGTATTTTAAAATACGGTGATCGCTTCATTTATAACCTTAGTATGGATAAATAGAATCTGTAGATTCTGAAATATATCAACATTCTAATGAAAAGTTAACGAACAAACAGGCTTTTGCACTTTAAACTTTTGCATTCATAATGTCAGTATGGACAGGTAGAATCGGTAAATTCTGAAATACAGCGGCATTCTGTCTATTAATAGACACAACGTTGCAATACATATGTAGCTTCTGTCTGAAGTTATTGATTTTAAAGCTTAAATATGGCGCTCACTGATGTTAATAATAAGAGTTCCTGTTGGTGTTTTACACGTACAAAACAATTTATTGCATTATTTTATGCCTGTTTGTCTTTGTATTCGAAGAAGTATGATATGGTCTCTAAATCGTATCGCTTTTTTTCACATTTTTATGGTCTACTGAATTCAGTTTTAAGCTGAACTCGAATAGTTTTTCCTGGAAAACTGTTTAGTTTCTTTTATACCATCGTGGTATGTCCCAGCAGCAGCAGGATCATCCGCAGGCTCTTATGCACCGCTGGGTCGGGCCCGGAGCTTGCGCTCCTTGCCCGGGCATTCTGGGGTGAACAACCCCAGCTCCGTTCGTTTACCGCTCGGAAGCCGGAAATCGTCGACATTTAAATAGTAAACAAGCATACGGCCTTTAAACATTTTAGTAGCAAACAACCATACGGCCCATCTAATGGTAAACGGTTATCGTAACGTAAACCGATTGCAATAAAATAAAATAAATATTTAGTGTTACCAACATTTGAATAGCTCTTTCAAACGGACTACAAGACAAATAGGTAAAAAATTTTACAATTGTATTGATTTTTTTTGTAGTAATAGAGGCCGCTAATAACGGATTTTCTCATATATATCCTTTAAATACGGACAATGGTGACATTTTTAGGATACATATCGACAACTTTTATTTTTTATCCTTTGCCAGACAAAGGGTAGGTTTTGATGTAGCTTAAGTCAAAATTATTCATAGTTTTCTAACTAAATTTTAATAGTTTAATAATGTACTGTATTTAAAAAAAATCTTTCAGTAATTACGTACCTACATACAGTATTACAATTTTCTGTGTTTATTGGAATAATGTAACATGAAACCAATGCTGTACAACGGAAAACAATATCTTTGTTATTAATTACTAAGTAAGCATAATAACGCTTGTTCTATGATAACAAAGTATACGTTATTATTTCACTGGAAATCTGCACCTAATCACCCGTCATCATTCCAGGATTTTGCCGATACTGCGAAACCTAAGATTAAAACAACGAAAACGCAAAACTAAACTTTCGCTTCTTAAGCGTCTCGGGCACGTCCTGTTGTTTCCATACGGCCGTTCTCATAACTGTTTGTTTGCTATGTTAGCAGTTTACTTTGTATCATGTTATCGATAAAAACGTTTGCGATTTTATTATAGTTAGAAATAAATTAATTAAATAACTAAAAATCTGAATAAAAAAGCGTCATTGTCAAGTTGGCATCTCATGATTAGTAAACATTTTTAATTTTTCAATGACATATAACTATTAACAATGACCACGATATCAAACGGGTTCTAAAATTTATCAAATACTAGCTGGCCCACCCCGGCTTCTCACGGGTGTACATATATTACACATATAAACCTTCCTCTTGAATTACTCTATCTATTAAAAAAAACATGTTCAAAATCCGTTGCGTAGTTTTAAAAATTTAAGCATGCATAGGGACAGTGACAGCGACTTTGTTTTATACTATGTAATGATTAAAAACATTTCAGTAAATTCATATGAATATTTTTTATGATTGATAATGAAATGATTAGCTAACGGTTTACGTTGGCGAGGCACCAGCGGAGGATCATAAACTGAACATGAAGTCAAGGCAGTTGGCCTAATCTTGACAAACCATGTTGACCTCCACATGGTTTGTCAACCTGACATGGTACATTACTGACAAGTGGGTGCTAACAACCCCTTCTCCCGTATGAATATTTATTCATATGCATTTAGTGTTTGGTATATTTTATTTATTCATCAGGTACAATATAAATTATCTAGGATAAAAATAAATATAATGACTAAAACGTAATAACTTTAAAAGTAAATTTAAATAAAGTCAGCAAGCATAGTTGCGATAGAACTGATGTGTTTATGGTCTTCATTTTAATAATAATCTACAGAATAGTTACTAAATACATACATACTTATTAAATAAAATGTTTTTAATATTGTTTAAACAATAACAAAACAAAAGGTAGAACTGTAGTATTTATTGAATAATTTTACTGATAACTTTATTATAGTTAGTGTAATGACTCTAAATTTGATACTATTTAGGACTGATCTATTCTCCTAGTACCATAACCTGTAACAGATGCATTTTTCTTCGTCAGTATTTATATAAGTGTTATATTTTTCATCAACAGTCGCTAAAATATATGGCTTTAGGGATAATGCAATTCAACAATCTATTATAGATAAATTAATTGAATTTCTAATGTAGAGACTCCTCTAAAATACTAAATATGTTATGGACTTTCGTGATTGAGTAATAAACATATAAACAATTAAAAATATGTCAAAATTTGATACTTTATATCCGGGTAAGCTCGACGATGACTACAAAGCCGCAATCCTAACTAGTGAATAAGAAATCTTTGATAGTTCGTAAATGTTTACTTATTGTCTCTTACAGTTGCCATAAATCATCAAAATGAGCCGTACCTTCATTGTTTGTGGTAACTGGAAGATGAACGGCGACACTGAGCAAACCCTCGACATCATCAAGAACTTGACTCAGCTTCCCCTGGATCCTAACGTAGAGGTATATATATTTTCTTATTTCTAACACAATTCTAGTTTAAGACACTGTTTTATCGTCTATGGTATCTGTTTCGATTGCTGCATAATATGGACATTTGTGTGAGTGTTTGTCTATTATTAAGTTTTTCCCCGTTTTTACATTTTTCATTGTAGCATCGCACATAGTGTTGTTTAGCGAGGTTGCCAGATGTTGACTGTAAAAAAATCGTCTGCTGCGATCGAGGTTGGGATTACCCAACCTCGATCTCGCCTATTTTAGCTGCCAAGCAGAAATGGAAGTGAAATTATAGAACACGAGTAGTCCCCTGGAATAGCAATGCATAAGTGGTAACACGGTTTGTTATCATTAGGTGTAGCGTCACCTCATTTTCTATTCAAATTACTTAAATAATATGAATAATTATATTATCTATCTATCTATCTACGTCCGTTGTATTCAATATTCCGTTGGCCAGAACAAATTTTACTTAATTATTCTCCTTTATCCCGTGCCTTAGGGATAATACAAAATGTCCGAAGTTACATTGATATGTTTTGATTGTAGTCGAAAATCACAGAAACAATTAAAATTATTTGAATTTTTTTATAATGTTCATATTATGTATTATAAATTACATCTGTATGTACCGAGTTACAATAGATTTGGTTTGTTGATGAAATAAACACATGTCGTAAGAATGTTGTACATGTGATAACATTTCAGATCGTGTTAGCCATACCTTCAATTTACATAGCCTACGTGAAGACTATGGTTCCTTATAACGTTGCTTTGGCTGCGCAGAATTGCTGGCGCACTGCTAAAGGCGCCTTTACAGGTAAGTAACAAGTGTCGTACGATATCACTAACTCTCCGGCAATAAACCAAATAAGTCCGTTATACAATCCTCACATGTTAGATTTATGATGTACTCAACAAATTGTGTTGCGCCGAAACTTGATAATCTCTTTGACTACTGTCTGATTCATCCCCTTTATCTGCCTGTCTGCATTCATATGTCTTGTAACAACCAGAATTTGCGGTTTTAAAGCTAGGTATGCGTGAAAAGTTAATGCCTTTACAAAGCGACTCTTTTCATGCGAAGAATAGTCCGTCCGTACTGGATTGTAAATATGTAAAATAAAATTCAAAAACATAGTAGTTGAGATAAGAACATTCAAATATACAAGTATATTTTTATTTTTTAATTATCTTATTTCTTTTAGGGAACTTTACGAGAATGTTAAGATGAATAAAATAGGTAGAATAATTATTAAATCATATATTAATACGAGGCTGATAATATAGAGTAATATTACCAGCTTCATACATATATTAAGTAAATGTGTCTTTTTCGTGCAATAATCTGACATAATACAAAACTTTAAGGAGAAATCTCTGGGCCTATGATCAAGGATGTTGGCGCTGAATGGGTGATCCTTGGCCCCTCTGAAAGAAGAATTATTTTTAAGGAAGATGATGATCTAATTGCTGCTAAGGTGAACAAAATTTAATTATTAAGAGCGTCCACTACCGAAGTTTTGCAATGTTGCCATAGTTTGTACTTATTAAATGATTTTCAAATAATGAATTAGTACAGAACAATATAAATCACTGCAATATTTGTGATCGAATGCTTAAAAACTGCTCTAATAACAGATTACAATTAAAATTGTTATTGAATGAATGTTTACAAATAATACGTAGTTATTATTCAATGTCGCCTGCATAGGTATTGTATGATTTGTAATAAAAGTGTAAACGATGGGATATACGGTGCTATGTTCAGTACTAATATGTTTCTGTCATAGGTGGAGCATGCTCTGGAGTCTGGCCTGAAGGTAATCGCCTGCGTCGGTGAGAATCAGGAGCAAAAAGATGCTGGTCTAACCGAAGAGGTTGTGACCAAGCAGATTAAGGCTCTAGTGCCAGCTATTGGCAACAACTGGCAGAAAGTTGTGCTGGCTTACGAGCCAGTTTGGGCAATCGGTACTGGTGTGAGTGCTTCTCCTCAACAGGTAATTGCAAATATTTTATAAATAAACTAACTGAGCTATTCTGTTCCTACCTCTTTAAATATGTTCTTTTCTTTGTTTTTTTCTCTAATTTAGATGAACTGGCGATTCGGTAAATAAGTCGGGAGACTTCTTTTCTGAATAGCACTGCGTCACATCGTTCACCAGCGCTACGCTTGTCCGTAACAATTCTTTTAACATGTTTATGGTTGCTAATGATTGTAGCCTGGTGTTAAATGGCCTAGAATCTTATTCAAAGATTGCACCATGAAGTTTAAAAAAAATAACTACTCAAAGATTATAACCGGTTGTTAACTGGGATAACTTATAAACAATAATAAAATCCCTCGTCACCTCGCACAGCGCTGTATCCTCAATGAGACTGTGTAGTAAATCGCTAGATCAAATATATTAAAATATTAATATATAACAATTGCATATTTTCTCAGGTTCAGGAAGTGCACGCGGCAATCCGCAGCTGGCTGTCCACCAATGTCAACAGTGATGTGGCTGACAGCGTTCGTATTCAGTACGGAGGGTCTGTGACTGAAGCCAATGCCACGGAGCTAGCCGCTTGCGCAGATGTCGACGGGTTCCTTGTAGGAAGCGCCAGCCTGAAGCCCGAGTTTGTCGACATTATTAACTCCTCTTATTTCATTTAAATTCCTAGCTGTTTATTCTCGTTTTAGATGTAACTCCGCAGTTGCGGTATAATGTAGTAGTTTCACGACGTAAGTGTCGCCATACGAATTTGTGTATTGATTAGAATTAGACGTAACTTGAAACTTATGCCTCATGTGTTCTACTAGAAATCTAAAAATATACTTCAAATTGTATAAATTTTCATTTTTATCAAAATTTCAAATTTGCATAAATTACATTAATATTTAAAAAAATATCATTTCAACCAGGTAACTGTAATAACTACTGTAAAAAAATATTCAACTTTATTCTTTTCGAATAAATATATAATCGATCCCATTGTTATTTTTATATTGTCATTAAAAAATTTTGTTATAAATATTTCGATAAATTTCATTCCGTCATGATCAATGTGTTGCAGTTGGAGGAGAATAAGTTTCAATGATAAATATAATACATATAATGGTTTTACTTTTAATCTTAGTGATACGCCATACGCTATAAATTATGGCATTACTTGTAATCGATGTTTGTGACGTCTTATGACGGACGGACGTTATTTCTTATTACCTATTTCAAATCATGTTTAATTTTAAGTGCTTTTAAAGACATTTGCCTTTTTATTAATTGATTACTTCGTTAGTTATTTTTAAGTAAATTACTATATCTATTAATGTTCCAAATACTTTGTTATTTCGAGGTTTACTTATAATTGAGACTGTTTAAAATAATCTGTTTATTGACCAATTTAAATAAAGATATTACTGTGAAATGGATTTTATTTATTAAAAGCCTTAAGGTCGTAAGGGATGAATGAATGTAGTCAGGTTTTATTTTATTTAGATTAGGGTTTTATTTATATGACATAATAAAGAGCCATTTGTCTAAGATTTCTGTTTGATTAAGTTAATATCTCTATTTTCTTAATTTCCATAAACAAAAATATTCCAAAATGTATTAAATGCTTGATATAATTTATTTATACTTTCTTTTCTTCTTCCGTACCCATTAATAAAATATTATCAATCGTATTTTCTGCAGAATAATATTAGATTGTTCCAACATTTACAACTTTCATTCAAATCAAACAAACCACATTTTAGTTTCTATGCCTTATTTTCTTTAATATTAATTTCTTGTGGTACTTTAATATAGGTATACTTATATCTGCCTCTAAAAATCTATTAAAAAAACACTAGGTGCATTCAGTAGGTAAAGTGGTGCTTGTGCCCTACTGATGCCCTTAAAGATGAAATTCTCGCAACTGCTGCAGAATTAGTCCTCAAATATTTATCGGCTACTTGAAAAGCTTTCACCCACTAGCCTTGTTTCTAGTCACAAGACAAACGCACTTTTTCATAATAAAATCTATGAAAATAGAACTTAATAAATGTTCACAAAAAATACAAGTCAAGTCAATATTATAATGCAGCTATCCGCTAACTATATCATACCATAGTTATGTAGAAAAAAAATTATCCACAAAGCAATATATAAGCGTACTGTAATTACAATATACATACTTTACTAACATTATAAATTTCTTTGTCATTAATACAAAGATAATACCTCTAAGTGCTAGGTTTGTTTTAATAAATTAATCTGTACTTAACACCATTTTCATATTCCCGCCAAAACTCCGATTGATCTTCACTTCAGTATCGTAATTACTCAGTAATTACAATGTCTGAATATTACTACAATGAAAATGCTTGATTCCTGTACTTACGGCTCGTATCCAGGACCAAATGTAGAAATTATTAAATTATTGTAGTGTTTTAAAATAATAATCCCATAAATACATGTTGATGGGACGTGTATTAAAATAAGAACGAAAAATAATATTGACATGTATTATAAATTTCGAAGCGCTTTAAATATTATTAGTATTGTACATTGTTTCTAATAAAATATACCGGCCGTAAACACGAACAATATGTAACAAACTTAACTTCTTGCACAGTACTTTTCAGTAACTTTTCCCATTCCGTTCAGTTTCGCTACGATCGTCAAAAAAAATTTTGCAAACTATATCTGAGGTAAGTACATTTCAATGTGATAAGTCTTCTTTATAAATACTTTTTAAATTGTTCCAAAGAGATTATAATTTCTAAAGAAATACTTCAGTTTCTTATTATTTCTAAATATTTCTGGGAGATGCATAGTGCAATAAACAAATTGCGGATTTTTTTTTCTAAGTGTTTGTCATCCTTACCATCATAATTTTTATCGACTGTAAATGTAATTAATTCAAATTCTTACTCTTGTTATAGCATTCTTAATCTGAGCTACTCTCCTATTATACCGAATCTACGAACGAACCGAAAAATATTTACTTTTACTTCACTTTTATTACATGGTGTAGTGCATAATGTAACTTGGCGCACCGGAAGCGTAATTAGGATGTTATTTATGAACAATCTAAATAAGGAACATAATTTTTTTGACTTGCAGTTGTCTTTTATTTAGTTATATATTTTTTCTTTTATATCCATATATATATGGCAATAAAATAATAAGTTTTATAGATAAAAAAGTAGACAAGTTCATTTAGTTCATCCGTTGATTTTCAGTGAAAACTGAATACTCGCAATCCATAGCTAACGTCTGGTCGGTGCATGGATTTATATATATATATATATTTGACGAATATTGATCACTAGACAGAGAGCCCTCGTTACGAGTGTGTGTATTGCAATTACACTTTGATTTAGGCGTTTCCCGTTAGTACTTTCTCACAACGGTTAGACATTTTAAACGAATATTTAGTTTGAATAAAGAAGAAGACTGCAGAAAGTATCTTCGCTACTTCTGGAAAATATGTAAGTGCATATTTTATTTAAATATCAATTCATTGTGATAATTCTGGATATATTGGTAATATGTTGTGAATATCTTGATTATTTGTGACTTATCAATTTTTATTTTAGACTAATAGGTAATGATGTAAGAATAGCATAATATTTTTTTTGCTTTCTTCAGTTAACATTTAATAATTAGATATATATAGATTGAAAAATGCTACCCGTTGCTTGTGAAATTAATCGATATTCGTATTTTTAATTTTTAGTTCTATTGTTCTCGAGCTGTTACATAAATAGGTGTTTTAGCTTTAACATAAGTATGCTTCATATGGTTTATATTTTATTATATTATATGTAATACCACTATATGACAACAACTATAGATTATATAATCACATATAATATTAAGTTGAACAGGAAGTACTTAAAAAGATTTTTTTGACTTTATTTGATGTCTAGGCACGTACCATATTAATGAATTCCATAAAATAAATAAAATAACCATTGTTTCATTATAAAGTATTTCAGAATACAACATTTATTATATAACTTGCAATTTCAACTGTGTGACAGACATATTGATTATTCGGAACAAAGAACTCCCTTCACACCCAATTTTCATGCAAATTGTTTGAAGTGACCAAGCCTTAACACGTAACATAGTTGTGTACGTTACGTTACATGTTATGTGTTAAAAAAATAGTAATGTAATATTTATATTACATTACTATTACTTTATTTTCAGTTTTTAGAATTTTTATATTCAGTTGACAATATTTTCTTTTAGATTTATTAAAAAAATAATTTTCGTTTGTAAGTTCGAATTAACAGCTTTTACTAAATAAATAAACTAAATTTTACTTTATTCTACTACTAAACGGTCCGGAGCTGATCTTAATGCAATTTGACGTGCAGATTCATGCCACGAGGAAAAGGTTATTTTTGTTATAAATTAGCCGTACCTGCGACTTCGTCCGTGTGGAATTAACAGAAAATTTAATTAATTTTTTTTCTAAAATAACAGTATAAAGTAACTTAGGCTAAGTTACTCATTATTACATCAGCTACCTACCTAAAAAAGTCTCGTCAAATTCGGTCCAGCCATTTTAGAGATTAGCCGGAACAGACAGACAGACAGACAGACAGACAAAATTGTGAAAAAAAATATGTTGTGTATGTATCGTATTTATATTCATATGCATGTAACAAAAAACGGTTATTTCAATATTACAAATAGACACACCATTTTCTTTATATGTATTTATAAAGCACTCGTAGTAGGTAATACCTAGTATTATAAAATGCAAGTTTGTATGTTCTGATGCATGTTATTCAATTGCGCTTAAAAGGTTGATTGTCGGATGTAATTTGGTATACAGATAGAGTACAATGTAAATTGATACACAGTGTACTTTGTTGCAATGTGCTTTGATAGTAAAATTGATATGTAATATCACAAAATTTACATATAAGAAAGGTTCTGAGAAGCCATTTTTACGTTAGGAAAATCGTCAGACCGGTTTATTACATTGCCGGATGCCGGATTCTTACCAGTTTTGATAGTAAACTTGATTTGTAATAGCACAAAATCTAAAAGTAAGGGTGGGAGAAGCCATTCTTACGTTAGGAAAACCGTTTTTGCCGGATTGTCGGATTCTTACCAGTTTTGATAGTAAAATGGATATGTAATATCACAAAATCTAAAAGTAAGGGTGGGAGAAGCGAATTTTAATTCAGGAAAATCATCATAGAGTTTATTACATTGCCGGATACCGGGCTCTTACTAGTTTTGATAGTAAACTTGATTTGTAATTTCAGGAAATCTGTTTTGATTGTAAAATTTTTAATATATCTACAGATTTTTCGACCCTTGTTTGGTTTATCTATTTTTATTGATGTTGCTTATACTAGCTACTCGCCCCGAAAAATAGGTTCAAAACCCGTTGCGTAGTTTTAAATATTTAAAGATACATAGGGACAGACAGCAACAGCGACTTTGTTTTATATACTACTAGCTACCCACCCCGGCTTCGCACGGGTGTACATGTATTATGCATATAATTTTTTTTCTTGACTCACTCTATTTATTAAAGGAATCCGTTGCGTAGATATAAAGATACATAGGGACGGACAGACAGCGACTGCGACTTTATTTTATACCATGTAATAATAATGGTAATGAAGTGACTTGTAGTGAAATAATAACTTACATTTATTATATTTGTAACTAGCTGTACCCGCGACATCATCCGCGTGGAATTTAACTTTATTTTTCTAAAATAAAAGTAGCCTAAGTTACTCCTTATCATATTAGCTTCCTGCCAAAAAAAGTCCCGTCAAAGTCGGTCCAGCCCTTTCTGAGATTAGCCGGAACAAACAGACCGCCAGACAGACAGACAAAAATTGTAAAAAATGTTATTTTGCTATATGTACCGTATATATACCGTATATATATGCATGTAGTAAAAAACGGTTATTTCAATATTACAAACAGACACCAATTTTATATATATGTATAGATAAGTGTACGTTGTTATTGCACTGCAAGTAACCTAATAGCCTGTCATCACACCTGAATTTGTCGGTATCGCGAAATTCGAGACTATAACACTGAAGACGCCTAACAAACTTTTGCTTATTAAGCGTCTCGGGCACGTCCTGTTGTTCCCACAACTGTGTGTTGTCTATGTTAGCAATTTACCTTGTATTGACAATAAAATGTTTCCGATTTCATTATAGTTAGAAATTTGAGACCAAATATCTAAACAAAGAAGCGTCGTTTGTAAAGTGACATATTATTATCATGATTAGTAAATATTTTATTCATTCAATTGAATTTTCATATATGTTCATTATTAATCTATATAAATACAAATGAATAAAATTGAAGTCTCCGATTTTAATTTCAATTAACAATAATATTTTATATAAGAAATTATAGTGGACTAATCGATCCTGCAAAATATGTTTTGCCATATAAAATAAAATCGCTATTTAAAATAGGGGTTACAGGGACTGATGGTAGTTGGGTCAACATTTAAGACTGTATATATTTTTAATGCCACATAATAAAATAAAAATTAGGCTGAGCCACCCTTAGTGGTATAAAATTAGTTATAAACCTATTTTCAGATCTTCTGAGAATAGAATTTATTAAAATATAAAAGTTCATCAAAATCGGTCAAGCCGTTTCGGAGAAGAAATTTACACACTTTTAGTCAATAGTACACTACATAGTTAAATATACGTTGCACTGAACAAAAAAAATCTTATTAAATTATTAGTAATTATTAACCCTTGGAGGGGTCATAGATTTCGCGACATATCATTTAGATTTTAGTATTAAAATACGAAATTGAAATATGTGTACTGTGTACTATATTTAATGGATAGCACAAAAAGAAGCTAGGCTTCTTTATATCCGGATCATCCAGGTAATCACATAAGTGATCTTTGTATTGTTCTTAAATATCTAATAATGGTCTCTTACAGTTCTCTTAAATCATCAAAATGAGCCGCACATTCATCGTTGCTTGTAACTGGAAGATGAACGGAGATACCGAGCAGATTGTTCACATCATCAAGTATTTGGCCCAGCTTCCCCTGGGTCCTAACGTAGAGGTATACATATATTATTTTATTTCGAACTCCATTCTAGTTAAGAAATATATGACACTACTTTACCGTGCCATCCTGGTTCGATCGCTGCATAATACGAACATTTTTATGTCATGAGCACACGTAGCCAGCCACGTGTGTTAATTAAAAATTTAGTTTAGTAAGACAACATTTTTTTGGACACTGCTAAAGATTTTAATGTAGCATACGTTACATGAAATATGAAAATATACGAAGGTTAGTTATTTTATAAAAGAGACGAAAGTGCTTATTATTCTGACGTAATAACATTTCAGATCGTGCTTGGCCTACCTTCAGTTTATCTGGCCTACGTAAAGAACATTGTTCCTTATAACGTGGCTTTGGCAGGCCAAAATTGTTGGCACACTGCTAGAGGCCCCTTCACAGGTAAGTAGCGAGTTTCTTAGTAGGATAGAACTAACCTCCGGCAATAATAAACCAAATAAGTCCGTTATACAACCCTGACATGTTGGATTCATAATGTACTCGACAAATTGTGTGCAAAACAATTACATATTGTTGCGTCGACACTTAATAAAATCTCTCTGACTATCTCCTTTATCTGTATATGTATATTCGTATGTCTTATAACAACCAGCATTCGCAATTTAAAGCTAGGAATGCATGGAAATCAGTGCCTGTACTACTTTAGTTTTTTTTTCGGCCTACTCTAATACTGTTGGCCGCAGCTGGCCTTTACAGCTTAACCGGATGATGGAGGGCGAGTGGAGATGGCACTCCAAACCCTTAAGGACGATTGATGGACGGACTTATGGAGCGGCTGAAGGCCAACTCCCGCCTGACGAATACGACTTTAGTTTGAGGGCACCGCTAGAGATTTGAACCTCAGCTCAAATAGCCGTAATACCGATCCCCGTTTTAATTGGACGGGGGATCGATCTGAGAGGGGTTGGACAGAGGACGGCGGAGTGTTGACAACAGACGGAGAGTTGGGGTTGGTTGTTTAGCCGTGTAATTAATACTCTTCTCATATGAAGATGAATCCGACCGTGCACTGAGTCGTTTTATATGAAATTAAATATGCAAGATAGATAAGTATATTTGTACAATAAGAATATATTATCATAAGTTCATTGTTAGGTACTTGATGATAAAGAATTTAATAAACTTATAAAATTCTTGTAACATGACTTTTGGGTGGCCAATAAGTATTTGTGGAATTAAATATTTGCTTGCATAAAATATTATTTAATACTTTATTTTTCAAGGTAATAGGGACACACAGCACCCCTTTTCAAATTGCCATAATAAAACGAAATTAGCCATGTAAAAGACGTTTCTTTGTTCTTCCGAGTCTGTCTCGCCTATTTAAAACACTTTATCTTCATTTCTCTGCTGTTTCGTTTTGTAACATAGGTGTGCAACTAAACCAAGATGAACAGAGTTCAAAGGCATGATATCATGGTTATTCGAACTGCGTGAGTTGTACCATAAGAGAATTGGCCAAATAAAACATATAAAATTTTTCTTTTTAGTAATCTTATACTCATGAATATAAATGTTTGTGCCGTGCGAGGAATCGAACCCGCGACCATCGGTCGTAAAGTGGTGTGCTAACCGCTATTCCACCGAGGTGGAATGATATTTTATACGAGGTTGACAATATAGAGAAATATATCAGCTTCGTACATATATTAGTATACGAAGAAATGTGTTTTTCCGTGCAATAATCTGACAAAATGCAATACTTTTAGGCGAAATCTCTGGGCCCATGATCAAGAATGTTGGCGGTGAATGGGTGATACTTGGTCACTCTGATAGGAGAAGGTATTTCAGTGAAGATGATGATCTAGTTGCTGCTAAGGTGAAAAAAATATAATTATATTATTAACTACTGTTCCCGCGACTTCGCCCGCCTGGTGTTTAAATTTATTTGACAGACGGTCAAAAATTATAAAAAATGTTATTTTGGTGTATGTATTGTATTCATATGCATGTACTAAAAAACGGTTATTTGAATATTACAAACAGACACTCCAATTATTTATAACTATAGATTAATTATTACAAAACAATTTAAATCACTGCAATATCTGTGATCGATCGCTTAAAATCTGCCCTGATAATAAATTCGAATTTTAATGCACTAAAATGATTATTAAAACGTTACTATGATAGGTATAGCAGATATTATTCAAAGTCACGTGTATAGGTACTATTGTCTATTTCAGCTTGATTTGTAATGTCAGTTTATATGGCCAGATTTGGCAATGACATTTCAGGATATAAAGTAACCTCCTTACATGAGATCGTATATCACCGGAATGGTGATGATGGAAGATTATAGGATAAGCACGAAGTCAGATCAGTTCGCACTTTGTGACGAATTCATGAGATATTACTTCTAATGGTATCTAAAGGCGACGTGTGGACGTTGGTCTTACATGGTACATTACTAGCATCAGGCTAGTACTATTAACTAATAGTTATTAGTAATAGGGACTAGCCCGATGCTAGCCCGAGCCCGGACTAGCCCGATGAATCAAAAAGAAAAGAATGGGGTAATGATGTTTCTTTACCTCTCTCTGTTCTATGTTCTAAAGTGGGCGGCGATCTCAATGGATGGCATCCTGTGTGGGGCAGTATTAAGAGTAACTCACGTGGTAACCAGATTCTTGATTTGATGAATGCTAACAATATCTATCTCTGTAACACAGGCTCTACTCCAACTTTTGAAACTGTTTCCCATGGACGGGATTGCTCATCTATCATTGATCTCACGCTAGCTACTGATGATACCCACAATTTAGTTGAGAATTGGGGAGTAGATGTGGCTGTGTGTCCCACTTCTCAACATAATGCCATTATATTTAGTCTCCGCTGTCAAAGTCATATTCGATCACCTAATCAAGGGGATAGTACCTCTACTTATAGATACAATAGCAAGCGTGCTAAATGGGCTATGTTTAGAGATAGTTTGCTTACAAATATGGCGACCAGAAACATCCTCACTAGTGACATTGGCAGTATAAGCATAGAACACTTGGAAGAGATTATCAGTGAGGTTACAGAAGTTATTCAACATGCTTGTAATGAATCTATGCCCATAAAAGGCTCTGGGAGGAAATATAAGCCTCCATGGTGGACAGATAGACTTGATATCTTGAAGGCTGAAGTAGTTCACTTACATCGACAAATACACGCTGCTAAAAGGCGAGGTGAGACATTAGAGCTTCTCTTAGCACAGCAACAACTCAAAAAGACCGAATATGCAGCTGAATTAAAAAAAGAATCTACTAAAAACTTCCGTGAGTTCTGCGAGCTGCAGAACAAAGAAAATGTTTGGTCACTTACCAATCGGCTCCTTAAAGATACGGCACCAAAAAAACCCTTCACCACAATCAAGTTTGGAAATCAGTATACAGTTGATAGGCAAGATACTGCGGACGCGTTACTTAAGCACTTTTATCCTGACGATGTGCCAGATACACTCTACATACATACACATACGCGCCGTAATGCTACTGTTCCGCATACTGATGACGACGTACCCTTCTCTACTGAGGAGATTATTGAGCAATTGCGCGATATGAATCCGAGAAAAGCACCTGGAATGGATGGACTTACAGCGGATATATGTCTACAATTCACGCTATTGTTTCCTCATCTCGTGTCTGACATATTGAATAGATGTTTATCATTACAAAAGTTTCCGACGCAATGGAAAAAAGCTTACGTAAAAATTATACCGAAACCAGGCAAACAGGACTATACCGACTTGGGATCTTTTCGTCCAATTGGCCTGTTGCCAGTATTCGGTAAGCTTTTCGAAAAACTCCTCATCAAAAGAATAATATATCAAGCTGAGAAAAATAATAAACTCAGTGATAGGCAGTACGGGTTTCGCACACAAACTAGTACAACGACTGCGATCTCGACAGCACTTGACAGAGTAAAACATGCTAAGTCTGAAGGGCAGCTGGTTATAGCTGTCTCACTCGACATTAAGGCTGCGTTTGATAATGCGTGGTGGCCGGCGCTTTTTGCACGCTTGAAATACATTGGCAGTCCAAAAAATATGTACGGAGTCATACTAGATTATACACAAAATCGAACAGTTACTCTCGATTATGCTGGGGCACGGGCCACAAAGGGCATGACTCGGGGTTGCGTCCAAGGCTCCGCTTGTGGTCCCACTATGTGGAATATCATCCTGGATGAACTTTTGCAAGCGCAACTTCCTGAAGGATGTCACATACAGGCGTTTGCGGATGATGTTCTCATGGTGCTCACTGCGCCAAACATTACTCTGCTAGAAAATAGGACTAATGCTGCCCTGGAAGTTGCCAGTCGCTGGGGTGCGGGAGTAAAGTTAAAATTTGGGGCTAATAAGACACAGATCATCGCGTTCACACCTAAGGCAAAGCGGGCTCAAATTCAAATGGATGGGATAACCCTCACATTTACCAAAGAGATAAAATTTCTCGGAATTGTGATTGACGAAAAGCTCTTATTCAGATCGCACGTCCGCTACATCACTAATAAGGCTATGCGCATCTTTCAAAAGCTGTGCTTGTATGTGAAACCTACTTGGGGAGCCCATCCGGTTAATGTCAGTGTCATCTATCATGGAGTTATAGAACCTATCGTTACCTATGCAGCAGGCATTTGGGGGCATGCTGCTAGGAAAAAATGTAATCTCAGAACTCTTGAGAGTACGCAAAGAGGGTTTGCTCTTAAAGCCATTCGAGGTTTCCGAACTGTATCAACCACAGCTGCACTTGCGTTGGCACAGTTTACTCCACTTGACCTTAAGGTAATTGAAGTGGCTAATGTGGAACGCACTCGACTGTTGGGCACCACGCATCATCTACCTGATGACATTACTTTAGAAAGGCCTATTCCGGTGCATCAGCTTCTACATCCATCAAGCAGAATTTCCATTCCTCTCTATTTGGCAGGCAGTCAGGAAGAGGCTGATGACTATGTAAAACCAAATACAGTAGCTATATTCACTGATGGCAGTAAGCAGGAGACTGGTGAAGTTGGAGCTGCATTTGTCTCTTGCAATCCAGATGCTGCAAAAGCTGTTGTAAGAAAAAAATTCAAGCTGCACTCCAGTTGCAGCGTTTATCAGGCTGAGTTGCTAGCAATATCCCGTGCTTGCGAATGGGCTTCGGATCATAAGTACGCGCACACTGTCATCTATTCAGACTCACTCTCTTCTATTAAAGCCATTCAAAATCGTAGTAACACTCATCCAATTGTCTCTCGCATACATCAATCACTTCAACATATGAGTAATCCCATAGACATTGTGTGGGTCAAGAGCCATGTTGGTATTGCTGGTAATGAGGCGGCTGATGTTGCGGCTGGAGAAGCCAGTCGTTTACATAAAGCTCCGGATTATGCAAAATTCCCCATGGCGTATGCCAAAACTCTATATAAAAAGGAAAGTCGCATGGCATGGGAAAGGAGATATACCTCAGCGGAACAAGGAGCATTTACCAGAAACCTTCTGCCGCGTCTAGATGTAATTCGTGATCTGTTTTCTGGTATTGAACGTTCCTTTCATCTCACCCAGGTACTCACAGGGCATGGATATAATAAAAGCTATCTCAAGCGATTTGGTATTATTGACAACGCAAGTTGTCCGTGTGATGGAGATAGCGAGCAAACAGTAGAACATTTGTTCAGTAGCTGCGCCATATTTGGAAGAGCCCGGCATGAGCACGAGCAAACGTGTCGCCTGTATGAGATTGACTCCCCTTATAATTTGACGAGCCTCATTAAGAAGCCGGAAACTCTTGCTTCGTATGATGCCCTGGCTAAAATTATTATTTATAAGTTAAAACAGATTAACAATACATAAGTGTACACTATATACAAGCGAAAACTTTTTATGATTAAATTAAATTTTATATTTAAGTATTAAATCTATTATATATTTTAATATATATATATATTTTAATATTGTATGTATAATATATGTGTAATTATGAAAGTATGTATAATATAATATATATCCCTACAGTGAAAACTTCTATTAAAGACTTCCCCTGTATCAAATCGCAGCGGGAGCCTAAGATTTAAAATGAATCAAAATATACATGAAAAAAAAAAAAAACGGTGAAACAAATAAAAGGGAATAAAAAAAAAAAAAAAATCTCTCTGTTGGAGGGAAGGGGATAACCCTATTGCTGGCAATGTACCATGTCAGGTCGACCTACACGTGGTTCCCCCTGGATACCATCGAGTTAAATTGCTGATGAATTTGCACGATGGGCTAACTGACCTGACCTCATGTTCATTTTATCAACCTCCATTAGTGTCCCGTTAGCGTAAACCGTTAGCGCAGGCGGGTGCACCATTCCATTATCATCCACAAAAAAAAATCTTTCTGTTCTATGTTCAGTATTATATGTTTCTGTCGTAGGTGGGTCATGCTTTGGAGTCGGGCCTTAAAGTCATTGCCTGCGTCTTTGAGCCGTTGTCCATAAGAGATGCTCATCGTACCGAAGAGTTTGTAATCAAGCAGATTAAGGCTCTAGTGCCAGCTATTGGCAATAACTGGCAGAACGTTGTGCTGGCTTATGACCCAGTCTGGTCTATAGGTACTGGCAAGACTGTTTCGCCACAACTGGTAATTGGATATCTTTTATAAATAACCTAATTGCTCTTCTCAGTTTTTCTCTCTCTCTGAATACTTTCATTTCTTTCTTTTTCTCTCTAGTTTAGAAGAAATGGTAACTTCTTTTGCGAAACGCTTTGCGTCACATTATCCACCGCGCTGGTGTATTACTATGTTATTGCGTAATAAATATTTTGACATGTTTTTGCTTCCTAATGATTGTAGCGTGATACACAGTCTAGAATCATTCTTAGAATTTGGACCATAATGTGTAAACAGAATTTTTATATAACTTACAAACAATAATATTTATATCCCTGGTCAAATCAGATAGCGCCATCTAGTCCTTAGCCAAGCAGAGCCTGTGCGAAGAATGTAACGCGTAAACATCGTAAATAAGTCGGGGTACTAAATCAGACCACCGAGACCTTCAAAATATATAACAAATATAACAATTCTATGTTTTCTCAGGCTCAGGAAGTGCACGCAATGATCCGCAACTGGCTGTCCATCAATGTCTCCAAAGATGTGGCTGAAAACGTTCGTATTCAGTACGCAGGGTTTGTGAATGAGTACATCGCCACTGGGATGATCGCTTGCCCAGACATCGACGGGTTCCTTGTAGGATGCAGCAGCCTAACGCCCGAGTTCGTAGACATTATTAATTCCTCCAACTAGAGGGCAAAGCTCGTGGATATGTTCTCAATATAATCCACATTATTTTAAACTTCTTAGCTGTTTATTCTGTAGTCAGTTTCTCAGTAGCAAGCAAAACATTTATCGCAACAGTAGTGTAGGACGTTAGTTTAAATAATAAGAATCCCGTCATTTGATTACGGATTGTTAGCAACTGCGTTGTTCAATCCAGTGGCAAATGAAATTACGTCATTTGAATTTGTGTATTAATTAGGATTAGTCGTAGCATGTTGAAACGTGAAAGCCTAATGTGTTCTATTAGAAATCTAAAAAAAATATTTCAAATTCGTTAAATCTGTTATATCAGCCTTAAAAAAGTTTAAAATATTGTAGTTTAAACATATCCACAGTTAAAAACGGGCGGACGTAATTTCATATTTTCTTATATTTCGAAATAAATCTTTAATATTAAGTGCTTTTAAAGATTTTTGCCTTGCCAATATTGCTTCTATTTCGATATCGGGTTTCCTTATAACTGAAACTGTTTAAAACATGCTGCTTATTGATAAATTTAAATAAAGATCTTAAATGTGATATGGATTTCATTTATTAAAATACATCAACCTGGATAAAAGTGGTAATACATGCTATTAAATTATATAACCGCAAGTATGAGCTTTACAACAATATAAGGGGCTACACATGACAAAATCAGAAATATTATAATAGAGGATTCTACATTGCTTCGATTTCTGTATCCCCGCTGAGCTTTGTTTACTAATAACAGCTTTAGTGTTGGAACACTAAAGCTGTTATTTCCCCTGATTTTAGTTTCGTGTGTAAGCCTTTTGAGTTGGTCTCTAAGTCCAATTGAAACCAATAAGTCTAAGTCTCTAAGACCAATTAGTATTGTTGTTAAGTCCATGACAAGCGCACTAAGCTATCTTTATACAAAATTATAACAATTTACTTCTATATAATAAAAAAAACATTTACACGATAATAAACAATTAAGTACAATCAATACTATATAATGATAACTATAAAAATATATCTAACAAATATGATTACATCTTTCTACATCTATAAAATAGAAATTTTATTTCACTGTAAGCCCTAAATATACTCGGGTTTTATCCACTCAGAAAATATGCAAGAAACCTATTATAAAAAAAATATCGCGTGTTGTAATATTTGATGAAGATATGTATAAAACTATATATATATCTATAATATTTATTTATATAGTAGGTACGTACATTAAATAGCATCTTGATATAAGGTATGAAATGGATATAATATCTATTAATTAAAGTGTTCTTTATTGCACTTAATCTAATTAACAATATTCTAATTAGCACCTTATTGAACAAACTTAATTGACATGAGGTTTCGGTCATATACCTCGTATATAGTATTATCTTGATTTCTATACCTCCATTTTGACTAGTGTCATTATCTCGAGCCTCCAACCTCTATATTAAATTTAACTAATTAATTAGAGCAAGATAAAGATCATGAAGGAACATTAATTACTATTATATCGAGTGCTTATAAGTACGGGAGATTGTTTAATTAAATTGCGTCACATAGTCATATATTGGAAAAATTAATCTTATTGTGGTACTTAATAATAGAAAAATTAAAAATATATTGTGATACATTTTTTTTGTCAATAATTGATGAAAAGAAGATTAAATAAATGATCCTTCTTTTTCTCTAGAGATAATTATATTTCTTTATCTCTTTTTAGTCACACATTGGTTACACCTTTGAAAGTTAAATTAAATTTGATTTAGAAATTGTTTCATAATTGTGCGCGTATATTTATTGCAGGAAAACAATTTTGCGGTTAATTTTTTTTAGGCGTAGTGTTCCCTCTTGACTTTTCTTGTTCTAGCTTAATACTACATAACTAGCTCATAACTCTCATATATTGAAATATATCATATTATATTATTGTAGATATGTTATTTCGGAAATTTCGACCTTTAGATATTTTATACTTTAATCAAAATTTTACTCTCAAACATTGATTTGCGTAGTATTGCTCAAATTTCATTTCATTTCAGACATTATTTGAATATAAATCAAATAGAAATACCGAATTTGTAGATTGCATATAGAAACTTGTAATATTTAATTATATTAATTAGGATTAATAACATATTAACGATGTTCATATGAAATATACCCGTCACCTACTTGTGCATATCGTATGAATTATAAATGTAATTGTGTAAACTTGTAAAATAACCTTTAAATCAACCCCATAGATCGTGAATACCATTTTGGTAGTGCAACATCAAGGGTAACTTTCCTACAAATCCTACAATACAGCAATCTATCTCGGTAGTATATATATATATACCGAGTGTAATGTATATACACGGCAGCATGTGTCTATACAAACATATTCTGTTCAAAATTTTGTCTCGCGAAGTGTGTGAGTATGGATGGATGTTTGTTACTCTTTCACGCAAAAACTACTCAACGGATTTTGATGAAACTTTACAGTAATATACATAACTTATACATTAGAATAACATATAGGCTATAAATTTCATACGGGTAAAACCGCAGGCACAGCTAATAACTGTATATTATGGTACTATTATGTACATCATTAATATAACCTGTAGGTGTTATTAAGTCGAAATAACGTTTAATACTTCATTAACCATTAAAATGTGTTCTGTGTAATCGAAATATAATAAAAAGTACCGATCGAAATGTATTTAAAATTACCGACTGAACCTAAATCGTTTGAAATAACGATGTGCAATATGTCTTAGTCATGATTTTTTTGTAAGGGTGGTGGCAAACAAGCATATGTTTCAATTTCAGTCTTGTGGTTACAGATTAAAAATCATAGTAGGTAATATTTCTGCCGAACCAACCAACATTTTGTCCATCTGTCTGTCTATGCCCATTATGAGGCCATTCCATATTAACTTTTATATCAAATATTAACTAAATATCACATGACTAATTTACTAGATCTGTGATGTTACATATTTTAAGAGTTTTGTGTAATACGCACGTTTGTATAATAATTAGCCACATTTAAACCACTCGCATTATACATGTACAATGTATAATTTATAGTTGGTGTAAAATTTTATATAAATCGTTATTAGATAATTTTTTTACTTAGTTATTACTATTGTGTTTATTTTGCTACTTTTTACTATTGTGTTTATTATATATGTATTTTTTGATTTAACTGTGTTAAATCAAAAAATACAAATTTGAAATTTTATTATACTGTTGGAATGGCAAACAAACTCCTTGATTCCACTTATACATTGACATTCTGGAGGACTAAGGTCTCATTCCCCTTATGCCTTAAATGCACTACCTTATCTCACTCGTACAAAGTAGCCTATCAGCTTAAATCAGTACGCAGACGAAAAATAGTCTTATGTTTCCAAAGTACTCTGTGAATTTCTACATTAATTGCAAAATATTAAGGTTGAATATTCAAAATTTGTATATTTGAGTTAATACTGTTTGTTATTAAATGTGCGATATATAATTCGTACTAAAACCTGAAGCACTATTAAAAACGTTCAGTAACATACGTATTACAAGCTATATATATATGTTGCGACGGTTATGTAATTATGTCTAATTCTGGTTATCCCCGAACACAGTTTTGCCTACGAAAGGCAAGTACTTGACCACAGGAGCGCCATACGACAGCGTGACCTTGATGGGCTCGAACCACGACGCCAGGTACGAAATAACCAGCATCCAAAAGAAAAACTTGACGACGCAGTCCAATAGGAAGAGGCTGAAAACATTCACATATTAAATCAATAATCAAATGAACACAATCGATTCCTCTTTTTTCTTATATAGAAAGTAAGTTGGAGCTCAATTAAACTGTCGCCTATAACAACAAGCACGGTTGTGCCTACATACTAGTTGTTTGTCAATTTATATTCCTGACTGACAGTCTGGTGATGATAACACCGTTAACAAACCATATACATCTGAGAAATGGGGCAAGCTCACGCCCTTACGGTACAAGCTATGTCGAACACCACAGGGTCCCTTCTGGAAACCGTTATGGTTAATTTCTAGTGATTTTGCCACTACGTGCTAACTGATGCGACTATATGCATCCTACTATCATTCACTAACACCCCGCCATCATATACCGTTAGCGCAAAGGATGAAATATTTTAATATCATGCTTTAAAAAAAATCCATATATGTTTTACGTAGGTAGAATACTTACATGTTGTGATGGGCCCTGTTTCTTGACATTTTAGTAATGTCTTCCTTCAAACAGTACACGCGGCCGCCCTCGATGCATTTCCTCATATATTCCTCGCGGTCACTCGTCCTGTGATCCATATTGAAAATGACCTTCTCTTCGTCATTCAATTTTGTTTGGAGCGCGTCATAATTTGGACAAGGGAATGTCCACGGGCGCATAGTGAAATATTGCAACACTTCTAACCCTTGACTGATTCTGTCTTGAATCCTCACCATACTGAAATATATGTAAAAAAAATTGTAAAGACGATTTTTAAATAATGGTCTAATGGTCTACCTGGGCCGTCTCTGCTTTGCACTGGTGTACGTATATTATACATATAAAGTTCCTATAAATAATGTGTGTTTGAAATTATAGAATATCTAGAATAAACCCGCAATTATACAGGACTAATATATAGGTATTTTTTTTTAATTCACATACAAGATTTTAGAGCTACCTTCTAAGCTTACTTAATTTTTATAAATTAATATAATGACATAAATTCAAATTCAAATTCAAAAATCATTTATTCATGTAGGACATTTTAGCCGCTTATGAACGTCAAGTTTTGTAATTAATTTAATTCTTTATTAATACAAATTATTCCTATATAGTGTCATTGTAGTTAGTGTTTAGTTCTAGTAGGATGTATTGCTTAAATAGTTTATTTTATCTGTGTAAAGTTATATTCTCTGTAAGACATACAGTTTCGTAGACCTAATAAATAAAATAAAAAAAAATGTAATAGATGTAACAGAGCTACATGTTAGATAAATTTATTTTTATTTATAAATTGTTAGCGAAATCAAATTATGTTTATTTCACTTTTAAACAATAATTCTATATCATAAAATGTAATATATGCGTTCAATTTAAGATACAGAAGAACATAGGCTATTTGATTATGATCTTGTGAATAAATTCATTGGTGCAAGCTATATTAAGAAAAGTGTACTTACAATCGTTTTTGTCCTAAAAGAAGCATAAGTAAATCAATGAAATAAGCTGGTAGAAGATGGAACAAGACCCGGTAGAATTCGTGCATCACCCTGTTGGTAGTGATGTCTCCGTTGGGATACCACAATGGCCATTCCAGAGGATATTTACGTCCATAATATTTAGCTATATCTAACACTTCACCCCATGTCGTAGGATTTTGATGGCCATTATTCAGATTGTATACCGGAATGGTTGGAGATCTGGAAAATAATAATACCATTTAACAAGACTGACGACGATTCCAATGTACCGTCTCAGGATGACGTCCAAGTAGTTTAACACAATCCCATCGCTAGCAATGTAATGTACATTACATTGCTAGTTACGTCGGGTTTGACGTCAAGGTGGTTCCGCCAGGAAACATCATAATAAATACCTGGGGAAAATGTCACGATGGGGTAACTGACCTAACCTCGTGCTCATCATCCTCCACTGGTGTCCCGTCAGCGTAAACCGTCAGTTCAGACTGGTGCATCTTTTTATTATAATCCATTAAGAAAAATACTAGTGGGTATAGGTAAATGCAACCTCCGTGTACCATGGAAATCAACGTGGTTGGTTCCTGATAATAATAGCACAGCGGGCTAAATGACTCGATCTAAACGAATTTTCTCATGCTAGCATAACTTTTACTAGAGTTACTAAAATGCTATTTGGCGTACTTTCACACATACCAGTTCTTAATACATATACAAAGCGGAATTTGGTAATTTTGAAGAGAATTACTTGATACTGTGGCGTTATACCTTGCTCTTTAGAAGTATATAGCACCTAACTGTATGTGTCATGTGATTAAGTTCCATCAGTTTCCATACAGTCTGCCATCTGCTACTTTGGTATTTCAGTTACAGTTTAAGAATAAACGTCAAGAATGCTAAAGGTACGGTATCTTCCCTATTGCGATATTCGAGTACTTTATTTATTCTATAAAACATATACTAACTTCTCTTTCTTTGTGGCCTCGTACATTCCTATAGCGATCACAGCGTTGATGGCTGTATCTACAGGTATGACCTGTGCGAACAAACTGCCATCACATAGCATAGTGCGGATGACACCTTTGCCTGCTGCCAACATTAAACCCACTGGTCCATTCAGGTTATCCACCCAACCAGTCACTGGTTCGGTTACAGTCGGGCACACTGAAATACAAATAAGTAAACCATGTAATTTTTGGCGGAAACCAAATTAGTAATTCGTAATTGTTATGTTGTCTTACATAGTAGTGTTCATGGTTGTTAGTATTTATGGATTTAGATACTATAGATAGACGAAAATAGATACGTACAAATAGGATAATTTTGATGACTCTCTTGTTGATTCTTTGTTGACTGTCTTTGTTCAAACTCGCGTTATTAAGAACAAAATAAATTATTGTATGAAAATGTGCTATAGTCAGTCTCTGGATTGTCCAAACTCTGGGTCTCACAGTCTTTGGGTGTGGGAAAGTTTGACCTTATCAGTCTCTGCGTCTGTGAGAGTCTTGCCCCGTTAGTCACCGGATTAGCTAGTTCCCAGGTCTGCTAGAGTCTGGCCTCCTAAGTCTCTGGATTCGACAGCCACAGAGTATGCTAGTTTTTGAGTTTGCTTCTCTCAGAGTTCGACAGTTTCATGGTTTGCTAGTTCCATTAAACAATTACTCACCAATACTAGGACGTGCAATAACAACAGGCAGGTCTTCGTAAGCTTTCTCCACAACGTTTTCAGCTAACCTCTTCGAGTATGTGTAGCAGTTGGGGTGGCCTCCTAACAGCGATGGTGTTAATGCAGCCAGTTGTTTATCGTCCAACCATTCTATTATGCGCATTACGTCTTCGGGTCTGGCTGGTGGAGCATGCATCTGGAATTAGGAACGAAACATTTAATCTTTTGGATTTATTTTCCTTTATATTTCTATAACATTACTATTTTTTGATAACGACTTACCTTTGTTTTACATTGGACGACAGTCTATGTGATTTTAATATATATATTTATATGTATAATTAGATACATTTTTTTGTAAATACATGCATAGAAAACATCAACACTGTCCGAGCAATAGTACCCACACCATCAAAAGTAAAGTAGTGCTAAACCGCTAGAATATAGGGACCGACTATAAATAGGGCGGTATTTTTTTTTGCATGGAGTTATGAATTTCTTCCACTCTTTGTAAGATACTTTACACCAATGTATTAAAAATATGTAATGAAATAATGCTATTTTGATATTTTTTTTAAATCTGAGCATCAGGGAGAAAATTATCAATAGTAAAAATAGTAGTACAAAAAATTGTGCTTACCCTTTCCCCCAAAGATTCATAGTCCGGGTAACAGAATGCCGTGGAGAGATGAACGAAAATAGCCAAATTCTTCAATCTTCTCGCTACGTTCAACGCTCTGACTGTCCCAGAAGTGTTCATGTTCACGTTATCTTTCAGAGGAGCCTCCAGTCTCAAGGTGGCTGCAAAGTGGAAGAACACGGACACCTCCTTAGATAACTCCTCGATGTCAACATTTGATAAACTGAAGTTCTCAAATAAAACGTCGCCTTGTATAGCTTTAATTTTCTTCAATGCGGACGGACGTTCTTGTCTTAGACGATCGAACAGCTGCAACATAGAAAATGGAATTAGAATTAGGAAAAATACTGACAGTATCGTGTATATACATACAATGAATTCAAACACATTTGACTTTGAATCACTTCGTGAAGTACAGGTTACAAAGGTCTTAAGAATAGTAAGTTTCACTGACTTCTGCAATTACCCGTATAAATATGATTGAAAACAAAATATGTGTATTATTGTAGGTGTTGGATAATATATGGAAACAACTAATCTTCGTCATTCAGAAATCCATTTATGCTATAATAATTATCAATGATGTAGTCTGTTCAATTATTAGAAAACAAGTGATAAAATTTACTATATATTATAAATTTTAAAAATATATAAGATTGCTAAAAAATAAGACATACACATAAAGTTTAGACTTGAGGAAAGACTGTAAGTGCAATATTGGCCAAAAACAACTTTGAGGAATATAAAAAATATATGTAGCGACTTACCGCCAATCGTTGCATATCTTCTATGCGTTGGGTAACAGACTTCCCCCGTTTTGGTCTCATCAGGATGTAAATGTTCCCAAGATCAGGTACTGAATAGAGAAGTTTCTCAACCAGCACTTTGCCCATAAAACCAGTCCCACCGGTGAGGAGAATGCTTCGGCCCTTGTAGAAATCACGCACGGACATGTTGGCCTCCATAGCTGTTGAAGAAGTTACAATAAATTTAGTTGAGACTGGCATTATTATATTTTGATAAAAGTCCCTAAATAAATGAAAGAATAAAAAAAAATTGTTAGAATTGAATATACAATATTCGAGCCTATAGGCACGCCACTGCCTTGGGAGAGCCTGGGAGAGCTTGATACAACACTGAAACCTTCAAGAAATTAACTTATTCCTACTTAAAATGGCGACAACGTACTTACAATTCCCCTAGTTTTGAGGGTGGTGGTTATCAGAGTTTCGGGTCATATCTTTTTGTCTCGTAAGTAAATTCCGAACTGGATGTTAGATTTTGACTTATCGCAAGTGACTTTAATAGACGCATATGAATAAAGACACTCTGATGAGAACAATTTATTTATATTGCTCCTAGTAATTTAGGTTATGTATAATTTTCTTCTTACATATGTTAACCTACATTAATGAAGCTCTAAACAATAATGTAAATATAGTAATATAAAACAGTCTACACATACTTTAGAAGGAACCTTTTCTGAGATTTTTTAGCAACAAATCTATCGTGTCAATCAAACAAATTATGGCGAGTAAATGAATACGTAGTTCTGTAGTTTGAATGGTTAAACCATTCGAAAATGCCAATTGACCCCAAATAGTTTGCATAACTTTAGTAGAACAAGTATTGATCCATATCCACTCATCATTGCCCATATATGAGGTAGACTACGTGTTCGACCTCACTAGAACCTTGAATGACACGTGCAATCATTGCAAAGCTCTTGAATTAATTTTAGCCAAGATGATTTGTTGATAACGTGAACTGATGTTCACCTAAGACTAATCATATCATCATAGTATATTATAATTCATTGACCTCATATTTATAACTATGCAATGTTTGTATTAAGAAATTTATTCTATTTTTAGATTTAATGAGAAAGGATTTCGACAACGCCTAACGTTCATTTTTTATTAATGGATGTTATGACACAAATTCAGCCTTTAAGTAGGTGTATAATGTACATTAAATATAATACCTAATAATAACGGTGTACAATTCACACAGCGTCATCTAGTCTAATCAATTGTAGTTTGTATTGTATTGCTTGGGTAATAGACAACTTATAGAACTACTTAATATTAATTTTTGTACAAACACACAAAGAAAACACCCAGACCCATACAAACAATCATAATCATGAATACAATTATACCGTGCGAGAAATCGAACCAGCGACCATCGAAAGTAAGGCGATGGGCTATACTGTCGAGTCCGTAAAAAAGCTATTCAATGTATTCAAACAGTGGCATAATGTTACTGAGGTTAGGAGGGGACCATGTTTGTTTATTACGGGGTTAGTTGTTAACAGGTAATTTGGACTACCCATTAGCAATGTCGACCCTTCCTGGAAAACATAGAAACCTGCTTTTTTGTAAATTTTGAATATTAGCACGCGTTGCGGGAGCAGCTAGTATGTCTATACTAATATTGTAGATACGAATTTTTTTGTACAATAAAACGCTACTAAAGACGAGCTTAATGCTGTATGGCATTCTCTACCAACTAACCTTTAGATAGAAATAGAAAGCGTTATAGACGAAAAACTTACCGTATAATTAAATTATATAGATATAATATATTTAAGAGATGCTAAAAAAAAATATAAGTACTATGTATAATTTAAATACATAAATTACACATAATAAATAAATAATATATAAATGATAAATACATAAAGATATGTTCAAAAGGATCCACTGAACAAATTTTAAACATTATTTTACTAATGATAGCCACGTTATTTGTGGGTCATAGGCTGTATAACATCACACTGCGACCAGTAGGACCAGCGGAGCTGCAATGAAAAACATTGCAAAAACGGGGAAAATGTGTCACAGAAGAAATAGTACTGGTAAGGTAAGCTTACTAAGTTTATAAATGCGAAAGTTTGTGGATAAGTGAAAAGTATATATGGATGAATAGATATAATACTCTTTTACGCAAAAACTACTGAACGGATTTTGATGAGACTTATATAGATCAAATATCAGATTAACACACAGGCCATAAAAATTTGCATGCGCATGCGCAGTGACGCGCATCAGATAGTATACAATAAAGCGTAATTGAATAATTTAAAAACATTTTTATTAAGATAAGTTTTTTTAAAACATTTTTATTAAGATAAGTTATGATTAATAACTTATCTTAATAAAAAAACATTTTTATTGTTTTTTTTGTTTTAGTTTTTAAATTATCGGAATTTATATGGTAAAAATGATCTTATTGTAATTCGATAATAAAATATATAATATCAATACGACAAGTGTAGATGTCCTTGTTACTATGACGGTCAAAGTATAAACTAAATTGCATTTCTCAATATCATACTTATATCATAGATTTGGTAATGTAAAACGAAAGAAAAGAACGGGCGTGTTTCGTCGTGATTAACTTTCGCTTTTTCGGGTGCCCCAAATGGAAGCCAGCTTTAGGGTTGCCACTGTTTTTAAATAAATTTAAATTTTAAAAAGATTTTTTTTTTATTAAAGGAATATTGAATGTCCTATTTACTTACTTTATTTTTACTAATATTATAAAGTATAAGGTAGCTGGAACCACTCCACCGATATAGGAAATTCTTTGTTTGTCCCAAATATCCTTTATTCTTGAGTAATATCTTACTAATATTATAAGCACTAATGTTTGTAAGTACAGATGATTAGAAGGATGGATGGTTTTTTGATCCTCTGTCAAGCAAAGACTAAACGGATTTTGATGAAACTGTAGAGTAATATAGCTTATCTTACATCATAACAAAACATAGGCTACAAATTTCATGCGAGTGATACCGCGGGCACAGCTAGTTATGTCAAAATATACAAAACTTATAAGTCATTCATAATATAACTAGAGCATAAGTGTATTCATACTAGTCCATTTGCAAGAAAGTTGCATAATCATATTATTTATAAATTTTCTTTGGTATTATATATATAACTATAAATAGTTCAGTATAACAAATATTGACGTTGGGCACTCGTTAGTAAGTACAAGCATAATATTGTTCTCAAATTCCCATGCATACTGTTTAATTCTTGAAAATAGCTTTCAAAACCATGGATTGTATTTCTCAATTCTCGACAAACTCGCAAACATTTGAAGTGTTTTAAAATAGACGTTGTAATTAGCGTTAGTTCTGACTCAACATTGTATTGATGTAAAGTATACCGTTATTATTATTGTACAACAATGTATTGTTGCATTTTTTTTTATTTTCATGCAATGTACAAAATGATGCTTGTACTTTACATGTACATTATTTTTGACGGCCTTATGATGGCGTACGGGTATGGTGATCTAGCGGTTTAGCATTCGTTTAGCTGCTAAGCGAATGCTAACCTTCGGAAGTAAAGCTGCTAAACTTTAGCATTCCGCTATACTTCCGATTGTCGCGCTGTATGCATATTATGTATGCCTTTAAAAAATGTATCTAAGTAATTATATCAATTGTCTAGTACCCTTAACACAAGTTCTGCTTTGTTTGAATTATCTTGGTTTATTATATAATATTAATTAGTCATATAGTTAATCGGCAGATGTAACCTAGACTAAATACCCTCGTATCCTAGTATATATATTTTTAATTTTACTTAAAATAATTCGTATCCTGAATTGATTAATATATTAATAAAATACTATTAATAAAGTTCAAAAAGATGATATTGTTACATATGTTTATTTTATCACTATAAAGTATCCGCTAAAACAATGTTTTTTGAAAATTACAAGTTAAGTAAGTTAATTTATTATAATGCTACATCAGAGGTGGCAGCCCTATTGGCTTACGTACTATGAGTTGTGGGCGCGTTGTCTATCTACGCGTCATGGAACACGCGAATGACTGTACCACTCACTCAAATAGTAATGGCTAGAACCTCGTTGGAACGAATAATTAGACTAAAAAATGGCTTCCAAAGTTTATATTGAACAATGGAGTTCGTTGACCCGCTTTCGTTTACGATCATACTAAAATTACATAACGATTTGTTTATCTACCAGTTAGATACAATTGGAATGTTTTACCGCGTCATTTTAGATATTTTTTGTAGTATACTAGGTACCTCTGTTTCCTTGTTAAATATTAACATCCTCTACGAGAAGATAAATATGTAGATACCATACGGTCAGTCGGACCTATAGTATATCATTCATCATTGACACTATAGATAACCGATGTACCTATTGTGCATAAGGAAATCCTTTATTTAAATCCTTTTTCATACGAAGTCATTGTATGTTCACGATCAGTGTAACCTATTTGTTTGTAAACTCATTGGAGTAAAACAAATATTACATTTTAAATAAAGTGATCGCAATACACTAATGAATATCATATACTAATTCAGGCGTTCCTAAGATTATCTAGCACAAAATAGATAGACAAGAATTTTTATTTGTAACTTAGTACACACATATAGGCTTAATTACAAATACAATACAGATTATATAAACCAATGCAATACAATAGTCTTCGAGTATAGACAAGGAGACATTCTTTTGAGTTCTATTACAGTTAAATAATATAATAAATAAATAACTTTAACCCCCGGCAAGAAAAGCTTGTGTATGGGTACTAGACAACTACTATAAATACTTAGATACTCTTTTTTATTACGTACCTACATAATATACAGAGAAAACATCCAGACCGATACAAACATACTCACTCATGAATACAAATTTTAAACACTGTGCGGGCTATCAAAGCTGCTGCCATCCGAAGTAAAGCCATGTGCAAAATCGTTAGATGTACTACGAACAGACAGAGAAAAGTTATGTTTTCATTACATAAAAAAGGCACCTAATAAGCAATGATAACCGTTTTTTCTATAAGATCTGCTTGATTTTTACTCTACTCAACTTCAATTCAAGTTGTGGCAATAGTTGCGCTATTGACATGCTAATTTGTTGAGACGATCTCCAGAGTTGTGTACGCTGACTCAACACCAACAAG